TCTGCACGATATAAATCACGCTCAGATTGCGATGATGAGAACCACGAGTAAAGAGGTTCACAATTCGCTTATCTTTACTAGCGTCAATCATCTGATCATCAAACACGATCAAATTCCGTTTGTTCACATCAAAATAGGAATCCTGCTCCAAAGCCGTAGGAATTCCCTTGACGAATTCAATGTTTGGCATGGCGACTAACATTTGTGTATACGCAGGCTGCCATTGTGAATAACACCAAAGGATCCTCTCTGGGGGAGGATAAATGGTCTCTGAAGCTTGTTGCAATAGCGATCGAACCCAGGCCGTTTTTCCGGACCCGGTCATTCCGGCAATCATAGAGGTGAAAGGGTGCTCGAAGCGAAACCGCTGACATTTCTGTGAAAATATTGGAACTGTTTGAAATGGGGTGAGACCAGCATTGCGGTGTTTAGACACCACATGCCTTTATATCCTTTCTACTAAAGGACTTTTCGCAGACAGCTGAACAGAGCCAACTCATGTTAACTCCTCAGGAGCAGAATGTAGACTGAGAAAATGTTAGCATAATGCGCATTGATATAGTTTTGAAGGCTATACAATTCAATAGTTTTCCTCCACCACCACCACTTTCCTATTGTTTTCCCTCCACCACCCCCACCACCACCGCCACCACATTTCTATTGTTTTCCCTCCACCACCACCACCGCCGCCACATTTCTATTGTTTCCCCTCCACCACCGCCACCACCGCCACCACATTTCTATTGTTTTCCCTCCACCGCCACCACATTTCCATTGTTTTTCTCCACGACAGTCAATAAAAGACTGCAAACTACAATGATAAGTTTAGTTTGTCGCAATGTCTCGAGTTGTCAAGAACAATCGTGGTTTTCTTCAACTCTTAGCTATTTGCCCAGCTCATCAGCGACAGTTTCTTTTACGGACAGCCAGTCCACAACAACTACATGCATTAGTCCAAGTCTTATACAATATACTTAAGGAATACATTCTTATCCCCGAAGAAAATAAGCGGAACGTGTTGCCATATAAGGATGCTCTAGTAAACCTAGCAGAAACAAATGTCCCTTACAAAACAAAGAAGCGAATCCTTGTACAACAGGGCGATGGTTTTATTCAAGACCTATTGGTGCTATAAAAGAGGAAACGAAACTATAAGTTACTCATTTGAAGCTACGGTCTGTCACGGGTACTCATCAAAATGAAGAGAAAGATAGATTTGGTTGAAGAAGAACACGAGAGTGAACATGAAGAAAGCGAAAGTTCCGGTGATGAAAGCGAGGATGAAGAACTAAGAATAAAAGAAGAACCAAGAATAAAAGATGTTTTGAGTCATCTTTCCCGAGCAGTGTCGGTAAAGCGTGCTTCTGATTTGCTGCATAGTATGGCCGCGTCCAAAGGTATTCTTTTCTGGACTCCCAGCGGACAATTACTTCGAAATAAACGCACTATTCCCGTCACAAACATCGCCGAGCTAGTTGAGTATCTGTTACTCCCTCATAACAATGAGGTTCCCAAGCCTCGTGCGCTGAATACGTTTCTAGATGAACTTGCAGAGTTAGGAATCGATAAAGGTTTAATCAAGAACAAAAAATTGTTAAGTGATTTAATAGAAAAGGAAAAAGGCTACCGAAATGTAGAAAATACTTCCGATAATGAGAGTAATAATGAGGAGAGTTCATCGGATATTGAAAATCAGGAGGAGGAGGACGAAGTGGCTTCTGAGAATGGCGTTGAAACTGAAGGCACCCAAGAGAGCGACAACGACACTGAAAATGATAGTGAGGAAACAGAAAGTAGTAGCCTTGAAACGTCCACCACCGTTCACTCTAAAAGTCCCTGTGGACATTGCGAAAACTTTAATGTGTACTCCACATTGATCATGAAATGTCCTAATGCTTTTGGCACGATAACTACAAGATTTGTCCTATATGCGATCACCAGATCCCCGAGGAGAGAAAATACATCAAAGAGGGCTTTCTTCGGTGTCACGATTGTGGATTAATTACACACAAAAACGGCAAGACGTTGGAAACCAATTTTTATTCACCTTCTAAAGAGGAGAACGAAGAGGAGGTCTAATTTCCATCCCTTCCAAATCGCTGTGTATTCGACTCTTTTTGTCACTGGTTTTCAATAAAGTTTTTAAAACTGTATCTCGTGTCTTGTCAATTTATTTGTCGCGTGTTTAAATTGATCCTTGTTAAGTTATCAATTGTTTGTGATTTTACAATAATAAGTCAAGGTGCTCCCTTGGGTCTAGCTGTAGAGATGAACTAATTTGTATTCAACTTTAGACTTGTTAGCCCGCATAATTAACTGACTAACGCTAACGGCGCGTAAATTGACAAAACCATAAGCTCATCAAGCGCTGAGATTTCAATAGTTAGTCGTTTCCTCGAGATGGAACGGAGAAAACGCTTTCGTAATGGTGAGTCAAAATTGAAATAGAGAGTTTTCAGCTCCACTTTTTGCATGTGTGTATGTGTTTTGTTATATATGCGATTTTTAGCGCTAAATAAGAAGACATGTGTTGCTAGGGGATCGCATCTCTTATTCCTATTTTTATAAATAAACTTTCCACTCATTAGGAACAAAAATGGAGTTGATTTAAGAACCAAAAGAGTTAGGGTTTACTTTAGAACCACCTGTTGTTTTCTATAGAATTTTCATACCCTATGCAATACTTTCTACAGAGTCAAGTAAACAAAAAAGGCTTGTACTAAAAAATGGAACGCCGGAATGCCGGAACGCCGGAATACTAAAACCCGGAACACAAAATTACTAAAACCCGGAACGCATTTTAAGCTAAAAATAAATTTAAAAAAATAGATTAATTAATTAATTAATTAATTAAAACCTGTATTTCTACAACCCATAACATACTTCAATTCAAAAAGGAAAATTCTCCCAGAATCCCCACCCACCCAGAACCCCGTCTGCCAAAAAAAAAAACTTGATTATCTTTAATTGGTAAGAACGTTTTGCAGTGATATTTATCTTTAACTGATGATTATAATGTGTTTTAAGAAACCATCTAATATTTTTTGTCGATCCTTTATTTCCGGGTGGCAAAGATTTTGGTGATGTTTCCCGCCAAAATGTAATCATGATAATGTAAGGAACATATAGTGGTACAGTGTTGGAAAAATGGACGCTTCTGCGAGGTAAGTGGGATCAATTTAATGTCGTGCCCTATTTAATAAAACGGGTACGATTATAAGAAACCGGGCTCGGTTGCCCATAAGTTCTTTATTTAAGACTCGTTTCTTTTCGTTTACTACGTTTAAGATATACAAATTATTAAATATCAGCTAAGTAATCATTGTTTTGTGTTTAGCAGCAGTCCTGAAAGCCTGGAAAAAAGAGGTAAGCACTTGAGTTTTGGAATGTATCGATTCAGTGTTTCATCGATTCTTCGAATACTACTGTATTAGAGTGTTATCCTTTTCACCACTACTACTACTGTACGTTTTATTCGATCATTACAGAAACGCGCCCATTGATAAACGTCGATCGTGAAAATGCAAATGAGAGAAAAAGCTAACAGAGAGCATGCGTAACTTAATGGAGGACCGTCATTAAAACTGTCAATCATGAAATCTACCGTGCATGTTGCATTGTTCTTGCCAGACGACCGAGACGAGGTGGTAAAAAACGAAAACAATAGAAGGCTTTTCTTAATTACTCTTTATTGTTACAAAGTCACTCGGTTGTAACATTCAATTTGCGCTCTTAATCCGCCGACTTTTTAAACTAAGTATAAGATTACACGTTCCAGAGGTTTTTTTCTTATCTAATTCCTGAAAGTTCGCGACAAAGGGTCGAAAAAAACAAAAAAATAACCAGCAACGATCACTGTAGATTTCGCTTTCAACATTTTTCAACGCTTTGAATATGACTAAATGAAGTCTTCTAGAATTCAGAATTAATATATCTCACTTTATTCTATGGATTTACAACAACTTACATAAAATTTGCAATCACTTGCACTCGCAAAGCTTTCGGACTTGGCGACATTTCGTGGCAATACAGAACGTTGAATCAATATGCCGTAATATCGAGGTTTTTGAGGGATAAAACCGGCAAAATACTTTAATGCTGTTATTTCTGTGATGAGTATTTACGCTACTTTTCACTTTTGTATTTTAAAGAACGATACGCCAGCAAACAGTTCGTTGTTTTAACCTTTCTGCTCGATCAAGCGAGTGATTGGAAAAAACCAATGAACAACCTTGTCCCCAAGTCCCATTGACTAAGTAACCATAGAGACAATAAACAAATATATAAAGCGTCGTTTGTTTGATATCTCACTCATAAATCGCTTCCCATACGACGAGTTACAATGTCTTTCGAAATCGGAAAGAAATGCGAAGGTCTTCATGAAGGCCGTTGGTATGTTTGTACCATTCTTGCATGTGAAAAAGACGGATATAGCGTTACGTTTGACGGATGGAGTCGAAAATTCGATACCGTTCTCGCTCCTGAATTTGTTCGCCCGCGCTCTACGATTGACAGTCGGAAGAGGAATTACTTCATATATACTTCACATAATAAAATATTTATAAGGGAGAGCTTGTGAGCCGTTTGCCTTGAGTTTTAACTGCCAAAAGGTTTAAGCTATATAGCGAATTATATCATTGATAATTTCATTATGTGCCATCTTTACGAACATCCGATCAAAAAGGTTATGACGGTACAAACCCCCGGGGCTGTGGGAAATTGAAACACAAGTATAGATGTTGACCTTGAAACGTTTTTGTATTTGCAACGGAGGTGACCGTCTTCAGATAGCATCGTTTAATGGCAATGTACATTTACGCAAACCTGGGGTCAATTTAATGTAACTTACAATACAGGTGTACCTGTTATTTTCAGACCCTCAAACAATGGCTACACTTGTGAGTTACACTTGTAAAAGTTTTATGAAATTGACCTCTGGAAGTTTTTGTCCTAAAACGTCCATGTCAACTTCTTAAGGTCTTCATTTACTATCCTTTTTTGACTTGTTAGGTCCACCAAATATAACACTCGTATCTCATAATCAGACAGCAAATGAGGGAGATAAGGCGATACTTAACTGTACAGCTGATGGTAATCCACGTCCAAACATCACATGGACAAGACTCGCTAGTAACAGTCACGTCACCTTTCCTCTGGCCGTCAGGAGACAAGATGAAGGAGGTTACAGATGCACTGCTGATAATGGTTTTGGTATTAAAATCCGTGATGTCTTCATTATTGTACAATGTGAGTACGATTATTTATTTCATGATGCATGGCGATTTGGAATGGACTATGGTCTCAGCTAGCAGTAAAAGCAGTTAAACCTATCAAATGAAATCAGTGTCCTCTGATGATCACCTTTTTTTTCCGATAAGAAAGACGTACATTTGCTATACTATGGTACATGAGTTTAACTGGTAAACTGTAAGTTAGTGACGTAAGTTATATATTTATTTAATCATTTTCCTTCACTCTATTTTAAGGCTCATTATATTCGTACGAAAACTTAAAACAATTATTGGTAGTTTTTTGCCGACATTTTTTTGTCGCCCTCATGTGGTACCTTGGTAGAAAGCAGTCATTTTTCCTCCCCTAACTTAAGAAAAAATAAATAAATAAACAAAGACTAAAACAACAAAGAAATTAATTGCAACGTACTATCAGTGTTAAGAGAACAATCACAACACAGCTAAGCCCTTTAGTTTTGCATCGAAAAAAATAGCATTACTCATAGTCTATGATTGGTGGCATGATTGTATTTCACAGATGCAGCTACAGTAAAGACGGTCGCTCCTGTAACATCCTATTCTTGGATTGGACAAACTGTAAAATTGACTTGTAAGGCAGATGGTTCCCGACGCCAACCTTATCTTGGAAAAGCCCGAGTGGGAGAGTAATAAAGCAAGAAACAACAACATTGAAAACAACAGTAAATGTGCCGATGAAAAGTGATCAGGACTTTGGTAATTACACATGCGAGGCCACTAATGATGTTAATACTGAAACAAGCACAGTGCAGGTGCAGCAGATAAGTAAGTGGAATCTCTTTTCCTTTGTTGTATATAAATAATATAGATTTAGCCAGGGCTAAAAGCGAGGCTCCTATTAATAAATTTATAATTTAAATCAAACAATAAACTTGTATTCAACAATTCAGTTAACTTTAAAGCACATTTATGTGACTTTTGAGGGAAAGGCTAAGTGATTCTAGAGAAAAATAATTTGCAAACATCCCAAGAATGAACCAAATCTTACATCCAGTTGACAGCCTCATATGTACACCCAAAAACTGGTAATCATCTTCGATCACACTTAAGAGCCACAGTGGCTCTTGATCACCGTAGATTAATTAGGCCTGGAAAAAATTCAGGCCGAATTTTTTGCGTTCGACAAGTTTACTTTACAAAATCTTGCCAATCTGGGTGCGTGTAAACCAACCTTTTATACCATTTGTACATCACATCTGAGGTGAAACAGTGCTATGCATTATTTCACAATTTTGCAATACAAAGTGCACTCATTAAGGACGATGGAAGTACGCGTGGCCTTTGAGCTAAACCGTTAAAAAATTTCCAAAATCATCTATAGGGCCATCCGGTTCTCACTTTTGTAGTGCGAGCTGTGGCGAGTGTTTGAATGAACATTAACAGAGTTACGCTCCAACATAATAAAGAATTTATTATGTTTATTTTTTATTTTAAAATGGTTTTACGCGCGGCATTTTGAGGGGCGTATGGAAAAACAGGAATCCGGAATTTGGAACCGGAGCCAGAAACGGAAACGGAACCGGAACCGGAACCCAAACCTAAGAAATAAAACTTGGAGACGTTTCTGTCTTAAGAGTGTCAGTAATAATTGTTGCTCGATCAAGACTTTTCATCCCCACATTATATTTATTTATTGTTATTATATTTTTTGCTGTCGCATTTTTTGCGTACGGCGCAAAAGTTTTCTTCGAGAATTTCATATACGCGTGAGCGTTGCAACTTGGGATCAGGATTGACATGAATACTCCTCCTCCCTTTGCCGCCTTTTCCTCACAATGGATGAAACACGGAGCCCTTTTAAGAAATGAGTAACTCAGGCTCAAGAGAAGGAAATGAATAAAACAGCGGTCTTAAACATACACCCTATGCAGAACGAAAAGAGACTGAGAGCGATCAACTTGAAAACGAGGCCAGTTGGGCCTGGTAAATAAGAATGGCCGCCTGATGTGAAGGGCGCCAGTTTTTGAAAATGCCGCAAAATTGTTGTGTTCCAAACTGTACCAAAAAGAAATACAGAACCGAAAACGGGGAGAAAATTTCTTACTTGAAGTTTCCAGACGACGTTATCCTCAAAAAACGTTGGCTCCCTGCCATTCGTCGAGACGAAGGAAAAGCGCTTAGAGTCAACCAAAACACGAAGATCTGTTCTCGTCATTTTAAGCCCGAGGACTTGGTTAAAGCTGTTGGAGGTCAGCGTGTTTATGTAAAGGCAGGGGTAATTCCATCTCGATTTTCGTGGTCCAAAGGTTCTCCGAAAAAGCGAGCACCTCCTAAATGTCGCAATCTTTCGTCTACAACAGAGTGTTCAAACAAGGAGTTGCAATCATCTCAAAGTCAAACAACTGCAGATGCAGCTGAAACAACTTCTGAAACCTGTACTTCATCAGCAGCTTTTAGTTATCATGATGTGGAAGACAGCTTAAGTTCGTGTGAAGATCAAACAGAAGAAGTTAAAAAACTTGAAGGAATTCGAGGTTTTGAACTTGAAAATGCGAAGTTAAAGGCTGAAATAGAGGTATTAAAACGCCAGAGGAGCCTTAAAGATTCCCGCCTTTTTCAGCTACGCAATTTTACTACCGACGAGGACATTGCCTTTTATACGGGATTTCCTAATTTAGCAACATTTAATGCTGTGTTGAATTTTTAAATACTGGATCGAAAGGGGAAAACATTAGGTACTGTTCATCAAAAGAAAGAACTGTCCAAAAGGAGTTTTACGATAGTGGAAACGAGGAACCAGAGGGATGTACTAGCATAGGTAGACGAAGAAGCTTAGAACCCAGAGAGGAGTTCTTCCTTGTTCTTTGCAGACTGAGAAGGGGATTTGCAGAAAAACATCTAGCTCACTTGTTTGGTATTTCGCAGTCGACAGTAAGCAGAACATTCCTTTCTTGGATAAATTACATGTATTTAAAATTTGGTCAAGTATCTATATGGCCTAATAGGGAGGTTATAAGAGCTACAATGCCTGACAGCTTTAAAGAGAAATACTCTTGCACCCGTGTAATAATCGATCGTACAGAAATTAGATGCCAAATGCCTTCCAGCCTTCTGTTGAATTCCAAATTGTTCAGCTCCTATAAGAACCATGTAACTCTAAAAGGCTTAGTTGGAATTGCTCCCAGTGGAGCTATAACTTTTATCAGTCAGCTATATAGTGGAAGCATTTCCGATCGCGAAATTGTTGAACTAAGTGGTTTCCTGAAGTTAGAATTTGACAATGGTGACACCGTGATGGCCGAACATTCCCCCCTTTTTAGGGTCTAATAGCCAAATGACAGCAGAAGATGTTATCAAGACTCAAGAAATTGCTTCTGTTAGAATACACGTTGAACGGGCCATCAATAAAATCAAGAATTTTCACTTATGGGATAGTGTTGTACCCCTCAGTTTGTTTGGGGTAGTAAACCAAATGTGGAATGTCTGTGCCTTTTTATGTAACATTCAGGACCCTCTTATTTCCACTTAACACTGAGTTAGGCAGAGCTCTGAGGCACACTACAGAATTTCGGCCAATTTAATAAATGTAAACCTGCTTATCCACCTCAGGTCAAATATTCTCTAAACCAACTAAAACTAAGAATGTGATTCGCTTGCTTTCAGTCCCAAACACTTAAAAGATGTCAGCTTTTACACGTAGTTCTAAAGAGCTTAAAATCAAAGAATAAAGAAAGCTATCTTATTATACAGACCATGTTGGTTGATACTCTGTTTTAAACATATAAGTTAGGTATGAGATACAAAATTTCTCTTTACTCGTGCCAAGATTAGATTAGGGTAGTTAACCCTTCTAATGGTCACTGAACTCCACAGAAGCTGGTGCTATGAAATGTTCAAAATAGCTCTTCTTTAGGCCTTCATTCAATACGTCCCAGAATTGAGGATCAGATGTGATCTTCTCTATACTCATGCCTTTGTTAGTATAGATAACAAAGTCACACCAACTTGCTCCTGTAATACCTAGTTGACCCTGTATCTGAAAGTAGTACTGGTGCCCCCTTTTTAGCCTCGGATTTCCATTTACATTTTCTGCATAAAAAGTTTCATCGGCCAATGCTTCTGAAGGACTCACATGAAATTTAGAGTAGGGACATTTAACCTCTACCAGCCCAAAAGGCTTGCTACAGCCTCGGTCAATGACCTTGCCATCTGGTGATGCTGCTAAAAAGGGAGAGGCCATACTGCAACAAGGCCACTTTTGAACACTGAAACTGGGTTCCTTGTTGAAAACAATTTTTCATATTCTTTTAAGGCTACAGGCTCATAGGTTTTCCCATGTGCAGTTTGTTTGGCAGTGAATGGTTTGGGATGAAGCAGATTATTTACTAGAGTGTTATGATTCCTTTGCCTTTTTACAATTGTGTGGAAATTAGATGCTGTATACCGAAATTTCCTTTCAGCCTGCCATTCCTGTGAGGCTGCTTGTTCACTTGTTTTCTTCTCTATGGTATTAAGCTTTGCCTCATCAACAATCAAATGATCCAGGAGTGCTTCCTGGTTGCTGCTTAAATCATCTGGCTTTTCATACTGCTCAGATTGTTGCAAAGGGAATGGAGGATATACAGAAATAGCATTTTGTTCATCATTACAGTCCACTCTAGGCACTGAGTCAATATTACAGAAAACTTGAAAATTAGACTCTGTGAACTGTAGCTGGTAACTTGCATATGAGCCACTTGGACATTTTCCAAATTTTGTTTCCTGTAAGTTGGTACCACCAGTAGACATAATTTGAGACAAGGCAAACTTAGGGTTGATCTCTTGGAGCTTGTTTTTTAACAAAGCTTCATCAGATGCTTGTGTACCCAAATTTTTCCTAGCTTCATACAACAAGCACCTTACTCCACTATCAGGGTTATACTCTGTGTCTATATTCGACTTTTTTACCTCAAGTTCCATGACAGGTTGGGGCTTGATTTTATCTCCTCTTACAGGCCTGTGCCATAGTTGTAAACTTGAAGTGCATGCCTTAGCTTGTGTCATATCAGATTCATTTTCCAAGTCCTTAATATCTTGACAACAATACAAACTGAACTTACAGAGTTTCATCATAACAGCAAGCACATGATTGCAAAAACCAACAGATCCTGCTACACATGTACACGAAGCATATTTAACAACTCCACTCACTAAACAAAGTGCAACTTGTAATTTGTGGGGTGGCTCATTTTTTTTAAAGCTATGGTAACACAAGCATTTGAAATAGAAATATTGGTCATCACTTGCGCAAGTTAAGTCTTTCAGGTATTCATCATCAAGAAATGTTTTTGCCTTTTCCCTGAAGCGATGCTCCGGGGATATCTTCCTCCGTAAGACTCCGAGAAAGACGGCTACTTACAGAGCCATGAGCGGCCATATTTCTAACACGTGTAAACAAGGCCCAACTAGCCTCGTTTTCAAGTTGATCGCTCCCAGTCTCTTTTCGTTCTGCATAGGGTGTATGACATACTAATAATGGCTGTTTTTCGCGGTCAATCGGCTTCTGGTTAGTTGTAGTCTCGATCTGTCGAAAATTGCTCGACCTACAGCTGCAGTCACAGTTTATGACTGCTAGGAATAACAGTAGGATGCACTTACCTTTTTTTTTGCAAGTCACTTTCCGAATGTGAGTATACCTTTGGTATCACGATCACTGTGCTGAAAATTTCTCAAAACAATGATAACAGAGGACGCCATCTTAAATTTTATTCCCATACGGGTATCGGGAACTGGTTTCAGTGCTTCCCAGTTTTTTGGTCTCAATTTAAGTTCCGGTTCCGGTTCCGGTTCCGTTTCCGTTTCCGGCTCCGGTTCCGGATTCCGGATTCCGGCGTTTCCATACGCCCCATTTTGAGTACTCCTGCAAGCGACGTTCACTGAACGACTGAAAACAATCGGCACAGCGACTAAAATTACAATAGAGACTACTAACAATCAATAAAAGATATATAATTCGGTGAAACATATACAGAGACAACAATTTTCATTCAGAAAGACAAGTATTAAAGTGTCTCTAAAAATCCTGAATCTTCAAGCTTAAAGTTCAAGTTTATGTTTTAAGCCGGTTTCCCGGTGTTTGCTTTTTTCAAAGACGAACTCGAGGCAAGAAAATCATTCAAAGCTTTCTTTTACAGCCAGAATTATAACTAACTATTCTTTCGAACGTTTTCTTTCTATTTGCGGTGAGAAACTGTCTAAAGGCTTTTTAAAGTTCTGTAAGACGAAGACGAACTCGAGGCAAGAAAATCACTCAAAGCTTTCTTTTACAGCCAGAATTATAACTAACTATTCTTTCGAACGTTTTCTTTCTATTTGCGGTGAGAAACTGTCTAAAGGCTTTTTAAAGTTCTGTAAGCTTATATCAAACCTGAATCATTGTCTCAAATCTTACAAACGTGCATAAACTAAATACCCGCATAAACTACGCTCGACTTCATTAAATTAGATACAAAAAACAAACATCAAATAACATAATTACTCTAGCTTACCATTCGCGATGCAGCTCCTGTAAGGTATCAAGTAAGGCCAGTATCGCTTCAGACTTTGCAACCCTCTTACTCATCAAGCAAGGTGAAAACGAAAACGATGCCATCCGAAATCTCCGGCTTTGACAAGCGACATATTTCTCAACCACAAACCCAATAAACAAACTAGCCATCAATAACAGACGACTCCTGATAGCAGCTTCGGCTGTCAAAGTAAACAAGATTCAAGATACTGCATAAATTTTCCGCATGAACTCACCTGTCAAATTTTGACCAATCAGAGCATAAAAATTGAGCGTAGAGCGTGACCAACTCGTGACCATGGTGAGAAAAGTCAAAAGCAACTGTCTTTGCTGCCTGTAACAGCTGGCTGAATTTTTGCGTCTGAGGTCGGTTTGAAATCAAAATTTTAATTATGCGGCACGTAAACAACAACACATTTCATGTGAATTAAAAAAAAATAAACTTGAGCCTGCGATCACTTGAAAACTAGTAACTTGTCAGCGGATAACTTCAAAAAATACTTGACCTCGATGCGTCGACACCTGAGCCCGCGATACGGTCAAGTGATACTGGTCAGCGGGTACCCTGTTTTGACGGCTTTCAATTGAACATTGATGTCCAATATGTGTGCATTATCAGTTTTCCTGTGCTCCCAAACTAGCTAGAAAGTATGAGATTGAACATTGTTCACGATCTAGTAAAACAATTAACTGGTCAGCGGACAGCTTGCACATAAATAACGCCACCTCGATGAGCTGACACATGAGCCCGCGATATGGTCATAGGATACTGGTCAGTGGCTATCCTGTTTTGACAGCTGTCAATTGACCATATTGTGAATGTCCTATATAAAAGATGTGGACTTGCCAAGACACCCCTGAGACACCCCTCGCTTCCTTTTGCTAGTTTCCCCTACCCCACCCGTACAATCTGTAGACGCGTACGTACGCTCGGTCAATCACGTGACAACCAAACGAAAAGAGGTTGACCATATTCCATGAGTATGAGGCTCTGTTCCACGCGCGCTTCGCCCGCGCGGGAGCCCCGCTATCAGTGATTCTGTGATTTTGCTGTTTGCGTGATGGCTGCAAGTATTTCTTTCCTTTTTTAAATGCATCAAGGTGTATGGGGCCTTTGCAGCTAAACAGTCTCTTGGGATAAAACCCCTTGAGCATGGCCAAGAAAAACACCACGATTACGTCATTTATAAGGCGAATTTCCTGTCTTTCCAAAACCCACTTTGTCGTCTACGCTCTAGCAATGGGTTTATGTACCATGTGACTGTTTGACTGCAAAGCGTCCGTACCTAAATGCACGCAGTTTAAAGTTGAAAACGTAGTAATTATTTGCGCAAACTGCAGAATGACAGATGGATGATACTTCATCCTAGTTGCAGGTGTTTGTATGTTGTAGACACAACCAAACACAAAACAAGACCAAAAAGACCTATTAATCCACATACCTGGATGTTGGGTATATTATATACAGCCTTATTGTAATGCCTAGAAGCATAGAGGTGGTCATCCACCACGTATATTGGTTTTTAACATTTCGTCTGTTGGTTTCACTAAGAAACACAAGTAAATTAACAGAAGATGAGGCTTAATTAAATTCGAATTGTTTGATTTTGGCAATGCCCTATTGTCACGTTGTCTTTAGTGTCCTTATTTAAATGCGGTAGACGTTACGCTAACAGATTTACCGTTTACTTCTGCCCCAAGTCAAAATCCAAGCTTTCGACAGTCAACGTCATCATCACCTCAGTTTTTTTTTAATTGATGTCAGGATAAAGTGTCCATCAAGTTTGCTATAAATCGTCCAATGGAATATATGTAGTTGGTTCGTAGTGCTTTCTATCTTTGGGTCTTACCGATTTATTGTACTTGTCCATCCTGTTCCCATTTGTTATGTCATGTGTGGTTCTTTCTTTTTCTCTGTATTTTCGTCTTGCAGCCTTTCTATATAACCATCAGGTAACAAGACAAAATGGAGCTGGGAACTATAGTAATATTCTTTAGCTTTTAATTTTAAAATTTGGGTTCTGGCCCGGAAAGTTACAAAAACGGGTCCCTTATTCGCACAAGTATACAAACTGCTGACCTGCTATTACCCCTCTATCATGCATGCATTTCTGTGGACCTATTTGTTTCTCCTTCAGAGGCACCAGGCTCTCCGACCGTCACAGTGAAGACTGAGGCAACGTCAATAACAGTTAGGTGGACAAAACCAGCTGTTGATGGAGGAAGTCCTATTACAGCATACAGAGTGTTAATACTGCGGGGAAGCACGAAGATAGAAAATAAGAATATTACCGATATGTCGGTCAAGCATCAAGATTTTGGAAGTCTAAACAAAAGCACAAACTACACTGTTAAGTTGTTTGCCAGAAATTACGTGTTTGAGGGAAAAGCAACTGAAAGGAAAATTCAGACCAAGTATGAAGGTATGAAAATCTGTACTAAGAGTGCATATGAATTGTATTCAGTCAGTTGATTTATTTATATATTTATATATTTATTTATTTTTATGAATACATATTAGTGACGAGCACAAAGCAGCGTATTTTTTATTTGACGATAAATCCGTCAGCCCCGAAACTAAATATTGAACTTTATGTGAAGCCAGAGTCCATAATCATAGCCCCTTGCTACCCAGGAATGTAGTCATATCAAGGTTCGTGTTTATTACTGTTCACACCCTAGTAATAATTTATATAAAGTGAGTTCCTTTAAATCTGGAATGAGACAAGAACCTGTCAGAAAAATAAAACCATATCACGGTCAGCAAGATACGCAGATGTGTGAAATTATGAATATATGAAAATCATGTATGTGAACTGTTGGGTGAAGAGTTATATGAAAGTAGATCATAGTAGTTATAGACGCAACTTTTGCAGTTGCGAAAAGAAAGCCTGAAAAAAAAATACTTAGCTGTTTGCCGCTCAAAAATATTTGCTAAAAAAATGATAAAATTCGAACGCTTACACAAGTGATTTCTCATTAAAAAGCACTTATTACGGAACAAAGAAAATTAACAAACAAAACCACGACGTAGCTGGTGGACATTAATGCAGAAACACTGCAGTAAGGTATATAAACATGATACCCCCGGTCACCCTCAGGGCTCTCGGACAACCCGTTTACCACATTGTTTGGTTTGTGCTGTTGAAGGCCTAAATGAAATAAAAGACCCTAAATAATGTAATAAAGTCCTAAATGTAATAACAGTTTTTCTTAAATGTATTAAACTCTTAAGTGTGATAACATTCGGCCTTAAATGTCTTGATAACATGCTAACGTCATCAGTGAAGTAAGTAACACGATTCATGTCACGTGTCTCAGAGAGTTGATTTTATTTACGTTTATACGACATCGACTCTTTGACATGTAAATGGCTATTCCAGGGGAGCGACGTTTACCTAAAAGGACCAATTGAAGACATGAATTGTTTTGATAGTAACAAATAGAGAAAACTCTCACTTTGTTTTACAGAGCCACATGAGTCTGACCGCTTTTGATTTATCTACATTCAGATTTAATCCAATCAGAAGCCAGCTGGAAACTGTCCTCGACGTCTGATTGGTTAATGTCTGCATGGAAGAATGTGATATCATCAAAGGAGGTCACACATTTGGGCTCCTTGCTGTAATAGACAGATTAACAAATGACAGCGCGGCTGTAAATGAGAGCGGAATAGCCACGCACCACGAAGCATGGTCCCAGGCTAGAACGGAAGGGACTGAGGCAACTTTAGTTGCTTAATTTCTTTTGAAATAAAGATTCAAATCCCTACGCAGCGAAGTTACTTAAATTAAATTTTAGAATCGACGCTGTTACAAGAGTTTAAACCGACGTTTCGGCAATGCTACCCTCCAGGGTACAAACTATGCACAATTAAAAAGTTCGTGCTTGATTTTTCTCTCTGCCATTGGTTATCCTCGTTTTCAGACCTGCACACGTCGTCGTCACTGCTGTCGCGTTTTCATGTCTAAATCTGAGTAATGTCACTTTTAGGGTAGTCCAAAAAAAGCTTTGCCGCAGAGATTACTACAAGTGTTCTCGCTACGGTGTAGCCCTTAAAAGGGCAAAGAAAGCCTTAAGTAATGGAAAAAAAGTATATTGACCAAGGCTTAAGAAGTCACGTGGGTGTTGTAATCAGTTGGTCATGTGGTGGACGTTGACGTGACTGGTTTTCGTGACAGATTGAGCGAATGATCACGTGGCCGTTGTCATAATCAGTTAGTTGGTTAATGACATGTTACGTCATTAAGGACGTTAGCATGACGTCAGTGCATTGAAGGCCGAATGTTATTCCACTTAAGTTTGTTGTTAAGATGCTATTACATTTAGGGTCGTTTATTACATTTAGGTCCTCTACATACGCAACACAAACGTACCTTCCATTCTCTTTTGCCTTCATAGATAGACTTCTCCCTACTCCACCATGCTTGTGGAGATGGAAGTTGTTTATTTATGTAATCGCCCTCACCATGGTTACAATACTAAGATAAGACTAGGATAAAATATACATTTGAACAAAATTAATATATAGATTTAGCCAGGGCTAAAAGCGAAGCTCTAGTTAATAAAATACGTGTAAACAAAAAAAATTAAATCGTGTAATGCTAAACTGGCACGACAATGAAAATGGCTTCAAGACTAATAGATCTAATTAGCAAAAAAACAAATTGCACGTGCAGCACACTTTTCTTCTAATTACCAAAAAACAAATTTGCACGTGCAGCACGCTTTTTTGTCTTTCCCTTGCCGTTGTTTTGCACCACTACAACGCTGTTTTGTACGACTAAGACGTCAAACTTCCTAGTTACACATTATTTTTATGGAGGAATTGTCGTATATGCTTACCCAATATTTTGTTTCCTGTGTTCATGCAATCTGTTCGCTTTTATTTTTCACCGCCGCTCATTTTCGCCTTGCTGCTGGCCGCTAGCATTTCTCATTTTCTCACCGCGGCTTTGAATTTCCATGTTTTTTTCCAACGAAATTCGTCTCCTTTGTTTTCAATAACTCGCTCTAGCTCTTTCTCGGTTATCCACGTTAGTGTAAACACGACTTAATTGTTGTTTTTTCTTTCTAAAAGTCCGGGCGGCCATGTGATTTCCCTTCAAATAAAACCTTGAGTTGCATTTGGGTTGCCATACCTGTTGATTGAGTTATTTTACATTGGTATGCCTGTGGTACGGACGGACGGTCGGGCGGTCGGTGTACGGTCACGTGATTACCAAATTTTCTCGGATGGGTAGATTACCACATTTCCTTAGCTATGGGGCTCCGCCCAGAAACGGTGGGGCTCTTAAAACACTAAGAAGAACAGAGCTGAGGCTGTATAAACACTGCTAGTGCCAGTCCTGTACGGGTGTGAAACGTAGAAAATGAAAAAGGGGACGACAGAGCAGTAGATGTGTTTCATGAGAAATGTCTACGAAGAGTCCTACAAATCCAGTGACAAGGGCATGTCAGTACTGAAGAGCCACTAGAAAGAGCGGAGATGAAACCTCTTAGTAAAAAGGTGAGGCAGTGTAAATGAGCAAATGAGACATGATCGGACATACACTAATACAGGACCAAAACAACGACTGCAACACAGCAATGACTTGGGCACCAGAAGGAAACAAAAGAAGAGGAAAACCAAAGACCAACTGGAGGCGCAGGGTTGAAAAAGAAGGAAAGAAAGCAGGATAGGAATCATGGGACGAAGTGAGACCTGGACCATAGCAGCTAACCGAGAAAAGTGGAAAGACTCTGCGAAGGCCTTATGTGCCAATAGTCACAACGGAGGATAGGTGAGGTGCCACAAGTTAACCTCTGACAAGAGTTTACCTTCACAAAAGCAGTAAGGCGAGTGGAAGAGGCTTTCAAGGTCGCCAGGTGGCCGAGCGAGCGACAAAATCGTGACAAGTCTTTTTAAGGAAAAAAAAAAAGTCTTTCCCGCGTGTGCATAATCGGGACAGTGTCCCTTAAAGATATACGTAAAAATTCCAGTGCTTTTCCACGTCTGACACAGTAGTGTTTTTTTTTTTTACCTCACTGTATTTACGCAGAATTCTTTGGCGTATTCGAATCGTTTTCGCCCGTCCACACGAAATCACCAAAACAATGGAAATACGATGTATGGCAGCATCGTTTTCAAAAAACCTACGTTTCGCCCGTTCACACGAAAACGATAGGCTGGCGTCTTGAAAAATCCACTCTGGGATCCGTTTTTAATCCACTGAAATACCGTTTACGTGTGAGCGGAAAGCTAACCGGAGAAAAGAGACCCGTCCCTTATCAAAAATACCCGGTTACTTGTGGACTAGGCCTAAGGTGAGCTTATGAAGCTTGTTTTGTGACCAGACCTCTTGTTGTATCAACATGAAACTCACCTTATTCTTATCCTTCGCCCTGTATTGATCTGTATGTTAGGGGTTTCTTCGACGGGGACAGTTCCTCTAGCGAGAGTACTCCAGGACTCTGACAAAGCTTTGATACTTTCTTCCTTTAATTACTGGCGGCAACACAAACGTCTACAGCTCAGCTTCTTACAACAGCTAATCACACTCTACTAACCATCCAACTATACAACTTATATAAGCATAACGCAGGTACGTTTAGGCTTGCTGATCATGACAGTTACGAAAGCTATTCCGAATGTCTTCTAACGAATTTCCCGTTGTTAACAAAAGTGGAATAAACAATCCTACAAGAAAACCAATGAAAGCTCGACAGCTAAACCCACGAGGCTAAACCTTAAACCAAAACAGGAACTCTGATGTAGGTAATAAGCAAGGTCAGCAATGGTCCCAAAACGTACCCACTTAAAAACTGACAATCAAACTTAATTAAACCCCAAGCTTGATGACACTTCTGTCGACAAACCCATTAAAAAGGTAATAACACTCAAAACCCTGTTAACGCATATATTGGTTAACCTTGATTCTCAAACCCAAACACAACCAAACTTAAATCACGAGAAGAACAAAGAACAAACAGAACTGTCATCAAAAATCCTTATGATAATAATATCAAAAAATAACCAGAAGACTACTTCATAACATGTATTACCTGAAATTGTCCGCAAATAATAGGTTAGTTTAATAGTCGAATTTTTTTGGCTCACAAAAAGACGTTTTTTTTTTTTTATAAAGCCACGCCTTTATTCGCCACTTTCATTTCGTCTAAATAACCCAGGCGGGTATACAAATTTGGGTTTGTTTAATTTCGGATTACATATTCTTCGTTATAATTTGTCACAAAGCGTGTCTTCATTGAAAACGAGGTAACCTTTTAAGGAGGACAACCGTTCGCAGACTCCAAGTAACTGCAGCCTAATTTTGCTAGGCTATCAATACAACTGAAAGTAAATAAGTTTTTTTTAAACTTTGTACCATTCATCTTTTAACCCAGGAGTCCCTGCAGCAGCGGAGATCACAGATTTACCGGCTAAAACAAAGAATGGTAACGTCACCTTAAAATGGAAAGAAGCTGAAAACAATGGATCCCCTATAACCCAGTACACTGTGTACAGAAGAACTTTCCGTGAGGATGGCACATCACTGAATTGGATCAAAATAAAGGAAATTACAGATACGTCAGATCGTAAAGTTGTTGTTAACTTGGAAAAAGGCAAAGAATATGAATTTGTAGTTTCTGCTACAAACAGTTTTGGAGAAGGAGGGAAAGAAGAAAAAAAAAATCAGGAAAATAAAGGTGTTGGGAGGTAGGTGTATTGAATATTTATCCTTTTTTAAAATTTCCACTATAAAAGTAGACATAATGTGTGGCATTGGACTCCGTCCAATGGTTGTATAATACGTAGCGATCTGTTTGTTGAGAAGTGTCTTTACTTCACCTTCGCCCAGTGTGACCTTGTGTACACCCAAAACAAAGGAGAAAGCGTGTATTAGTTGTAATCCACTGATGAATTGTCGCACGATGTTATCGGCTATTTTGGGTCACGTGGTACGAAATCGGACGGGTGTTAGGCAATACACCCTATCCGTGCAGATATTTGCTTTACGATTTTTCAGTGGCAAGAATATGACAAAGTCAACAGAGTGCAGTCTCATTCCAGTTTTTATCTTCTTTAATAATTTAGAATGAAAGTAGTAAAAACAAACTTATTTTGTTTAATCCAGTTTCACTAAAATACAGAGAAATCAATAAAATAAGCTATGAATCGAAGATGAGCAAAATGTTCGAATTGAGCTTTATATTTATGCATTTGAACAGAAACCTGAATACTGTGTTTTTATGGAAAAGAATACTTCCAGTGTTTACGAAGATAAGCCTTTTTTGTTACATTCAGCATGGAGAAAAGAGAGAAAAAAGCGTAGCGGGACATGAAAACGATTAATTGATCGAGTCGTACAGTGCGCAGCCAACTAGAGCATCAGTTTGAGTCATCTCCGATTATCAAGTGATTTATAACTATGGAAAATTCCGGTCAGTTCAACCTGTTCTTACAGCTGGGCCTCATAATTAGTTCTTCTTCCTTTTCTTTCTATGACTTCCTCAGGTTCCACCATCCACAGCAACGTACAAATCCAGGTTTTGACAGCAGCTCACTAATGTAAATCCTTCAAATGCTCGAGGTTTTTCAGTTTCTGTGTTTCATACTTTTGATAACTTTTCTAGCCCTTGCAGCAGCAGTTAGTGATATGGTTGGATTCTCTTTACTTATCCAAACGCTGTTTTTCGAGTTTTGATATTTGGGGCGTTTCAAGAGTGCATTTGACATGACAGCCAGTCAAGCCCTGGTCCAATCACAGTTTCATTAAAAAAAAATCAACCAATCAATGTGCTTGTTTGCGTCATTCGCAATATAGTAAAATTTGAATTATAATAATAAAAATTAAAAAAAATAGATAAAAAATTTCTGTGTTAAAAATAAAACAATTTAGAAACATAATTACAATATCAAGAAGGATTGTATGCTAGTCTAAAAAAGTAAGTCGTTAACTTTGATTTGAAAACAGTCAGAGTTGTACTTTGTGGTGTTTCACGAGGGGGGTTGTTCCAAAGAAGAAGGTCCTGAGTGTGCGAAGGCGCGATCACCAAATGCCTTGTGGTTAGCTCTAGGAACAGCAAAAAGGTTATGTTCGTTTGAACGCAGCAGCATTCAGTACTTTTTGAAGATCAGATTGGTTTTTAAAGGCGACATAAAGAAAAGAATCAGTGCAGTAGTCCTATTATCGTATATCGGATGATAATGCCCTCGGCTAAGAGATTGTCCTCAAAATTTTATATTTGCCCGAGAAGCAAATGTTTATCTCTCAGCCGTGGGCATTGTCCTCCGATACACTAGCCACCGGGAGAGGTTTATTTACTGAATAATACACGCCTTTGCCTTTAGCCTACCCTTTCCCAGCTACTTCCGCTGCCTCCATCCATCGATGAGGCTTCGCTTGTTCCAGAAAAAAAAACAACAACAACAACAACAACCTGCTTTGCTACATACCGGTACCTACATGTTTGTCGATCATAAGTCTAAAAGACTTAAGTCTATGGATTTTATTGTGTCGTGTTCTAAGTGAATCTGTTTAGTGCTTTCGAGACGACTTTATTACCCGATAATGTTGTGCGAAATGAATGTCCAATGAAAATTATTTGCAAAAGAGTATGAAAGAACACTAATCTTTGATCGAAGTGAAGGACTAAACAATACATTGAGACAGTATTAAGCGTTTATCATGATAGCGTAGCCAGAGTAGTAGGGAGATCGAGAGCCAAATACGGGTAGATATGTTTTTCACAACTGGCAATGCATTATCAAAGTCTTAATTGTACCGTTTTTCAATTTATTTTTAACATCAGCTATGCGCAAAAGTAGTACTCTAGTTATTTAAGGGAGAACGAGTAAAAACTTTGAAAGGAAAATTAACAGCTCTGTGGCATTTCTTTGTGCGTAAGGTGTGCCGTCAGCAGTGGCCTTCACATACGAATTAAAAGCTGATAAAATAACCTTGAAGTGGGAGGAACCAAACAACAACGGAGCAGAAATCACAATGTATACTGTGTACCATGGAACCCAAAGTGATGAGCAATGGAAGGAGACTGAAAATATAACTGATGTCTCAAAACGTAAATATGTTGTGAAAGTCGAAATGGGCCAGAAGTATAAAGTACTGGTAACAGCAAGCAACAAGTATGGAGAGAGTTCAAAGGAAGGCAAGATGCAACGTGTCGACATACCGGAAGGTGGGTTAAGCTCAAGTTTAACTGAAAGAGTGTATCTCAGGGAAATACATAGTAGATCACTATACACAGTAGATAGTTCAGTGGTGTTCACTATACACCTTTTTAGCTTGTAGGTTTTGTTTTCACTTTTCAGACCACGTGATGTTTCCCCAGATAATTCTTTCTTTTAAATGTTTAACGGTAATCCTTACAGATGTTAAAGCCGTTTTCGCGCTAGAGACGGAACATCTCTAGTGTAAAAACGGCTGATAAAAACCAGTTCCCTACAGTGGCAAAATCCACTGACAGCTTTCAAGCTTCGTGCGCGTATCGCAGCCATTGGCCGTATTCACACTAGAGACGAATTGTCCGTCTGAGGCGGGTTTTGAAGATGGATTAACCGTCTCAGACGGATCATCCGTCTCTAGTGTCAAAACGGCCTTTGTGTGCTATTCAATTTAAATCAATGCAGGGAAAAATTAATTGTAGATAAAACGCTGTTCATAAAAGCTAGTAGTCAGTAACTCCAACTTTGCGACAATGCTACCTTTATTGATCCATTGAACCATTCATGAAATGTGAATCGCTCATGCTTTGTAGGCCAGGCAGTTAATACTAATATAGGATTATTAAATACGACTAGAATCATTAAGTAAGTAACTTAGGAAATAATAGCAAGACTGGCCGTCCGGTGGAGAATGTCAAAAGGAGTTATAAATAATTTGTTAGCGCTCAAAAAGCAACCCTCGCGGCACTGAATGTTGCCTTCTGAGAATGTGAATTTGACTACCGTTACAAGAAGTTTCATTTGAAAATAACCAAATGAACAGGTTTAACGGTAAATCATTTCTTTGTAACACGTTAGAATCATATGATAGTATTCTTTAATATTTTTCTCAGGTCCCTCTAAACCAACAGGACGCCAAACAGGTGAGTTGCTGTTACTCATAAAGGCGGAAAGAGAACCATGGTTAAACTGCACTTGAGTCTCACCAGCATCAGTGCCATACCTCTCTTGCTTCAGTGAAATCAGAAACGCTTGAAGGGTAACAAATGCAATATAATAAAATATAGACGGTTCAGAGGTCATTGGATACTATGGGCGCTTTCCATTCAACCCAAAAGTCCGGAAATTTCGGTTGGTTCATCAAATGGAACGGACCATTTCGGTTTGGTCCGACCAGAATATTCGGGACCAGCTTTGAAGGTGGTCCACTGTGACCGGTCTGGTCATTTCGGTCGGTGGGACCGAAATGTCCGTTTCCATTTGCCAAAATTGTTGTCCCCAGTACCGTTCTTTTCTATCCTGCTTAAGGAACAAGTAGTTTCCAATGGAAAGCGAAGTGCTGTGAGTAAAGCATGACATCTCAAATAGTTTGAAACCTGGTTTGAATCAGTTGCAATTTTTTTCGATTTTTTGATATTTGCCATTAACAGTGTCAAATAACTGACGCAACAGGACACGTAGGTGAAAAAAAGTGTGTGTAATCAAGCTACAATTGTAAAAGTCCGTGAGAATCAGCGTATTATTTGTCTGCAACCTGTCGACGATATTTAACTAAAGCAATTTATCAATTAAGCTGAAATGAATACAACAAAGCCTGGCTGAATACAAATATATGTTGGCCAAAACACCGAATTTATTTACCGTACAGTTCCAGGAATTGCTTCGAATCGTTCGAATATTCTGAGAAACGTATCGCTTCAATTCACAAGAATTTTTTGCCTTCACTTGCATTCATAGGCTTTCTACACGAAATAGGATTCCTCCACCTTTAGTTTTGCACCGCAACTTTTCGACAGTCGAGTGTTCTTTAATATAAACAGTATTTACTTTTCTCTTTTAGAGCGTAATTATGAGTGTGCTGCGAAGCCACAATAACAAAACGCGCGGTGGCTTTTGTCGGGTCTGTGCAACCGAAATGTACCGTTCCATTGAGCACGTGAAGTTTCCGAAATTTCAAACCGCAATTTTTGTTGAATGGAAAGCGCGCTATATCTTCTGTATCCTCTCTTTCTACTTGTAGCATTAGGATAGTGCATCTGTATCTGTCGCTGCGCTATTGCCGTGACAATTAACAGCAACCATTTCGTTTTAGGTTCCTCGTGTGGTAATCAAAAGGAAATCCTTCATGCCGTTTATATCACCATCATCTGTCTTTTGTTAATAAGTAATCTTATTCTGATATTCGTCATCTGCCGAATGCGCACCCGTTCAGGTAAGTAAGTTTTTGTACCAAACGCATTTGTCTTTTTCTTATTGAATTCGCCACGGTGACTCAACATGCTGACAGTAGATGATACAGGACTTAAGTCCCAATTGGTATCAACCCCTTCATGACCCATCCAGCAGTTGGTATAAGCCCAGTTTCTTTCTCAAGGCTTTAAGATTTTTTCAATTCTTAGAACATCGTTTCGCTTTAATACTGGATTTTAGAGGCTCTTTCCAATTTTCGTTCAAACTATAGAGTATCAGATGCAGGGTGAATGCGGCCATAATTTCGTATGTTACGTTATCACTAGGGTTATTAAAAGAAAAAGACAAACTGGATGTATGAAATCCCTGAAAGGCTTGGTAATTGCTGCGAGGACTAAAGATACTCACATCTTGTATTTTGTATTGAGCTCCAGAGATATATCAATAACTAGTTGTCAAAGTGTTTACAAACTGAACAAGTCTGAACATATTTTTGTTTCAGAAAAATCACAGGAGAGAAAGTAAGTAACTTTCCTTATTATTATTATCATTATAGTTTTCTCGGATTCATCGCCCCGGCGAAAATATGGAGAGATGATGTATGCCGTTTTTCGGCAAAAAAGTTGTTTAGGAAGAATTTAGCTATACCACAGACACTAACGCTACAATTTGCACCAAACCACGTGACTTACCGATGTTTTACCTTACCGTGGGATGTAGGGATGTACTTTATGTTTCCGGAATGGTAGGAATCCAAAATAAAAGTTGAGTCTTACATCTATTATAAATCTTTTAACTTTACCATTCCCTTCGTCACCAGTATCGGGGTGTTAAAGTCCAGTCTCAACAAAGATTTTTTTTATAACAAGGGTAATATCATAGACAATTAAAGGTTCTGTGACTTACAGGTAGGTCGAGAAAAGCTTATAGCGTCTTGCTGGCACAAATTTGAGACTAAACGTTTTTAAGTACTGTTTACTTTCTTGTCAACAGAAATTGTCCAAGATGCGGAGATCTTCTAGCGATGGCAAGTTAATACGTTATTGCTAAGAGCATTTGTACACGGTATGGAATTTTGGGCGCGATGAAAATGAATCAGTGGGGGTGGGGTGGATGGAGTGAAGGTGGGAATAGAAAAACCACTGTCTTTTTGCCTTGTCAAGCTCTATATTTTAACCCGAGATGCGCCTACGCCTAGCCTTAGGTCATGAAATAAGCCAGAGCAAAGCCAAGTATTGTTGCCTGGAGAATATATTTCTGAGGTTCTCTTCTCTTTTTTTTAGCGATTGACGGAAAGCTTGATTGGACGCTCCCTATGAAACTTGAACTAAGAACATTTCTTTACGATATTTGCCATTTATGATATTTAAAACAAAGAGTTGAACAGCGTACTTATTCATTTGATTCAGTCAATCATTTGTCAATCACTTTAATTGTATGGTTTACTGGCCTTATTAAAAAAGGCACTTTTCAGTTGAACGTTGTTGTTTTACTGCTGAATCTTGTCTCACAATGTTTGACAATAGAATCCCATTGCTGTTAAAGTAGGGGCTGATACACAATCCTTCGATGTGGAGCAAACGTTTGAAGCCCCGACCTATGCATCCACAGCAAGTGCAGATTACATGCCACTTCATCCCTCAACGAGAAGCTGGGAGATCAGTCGCAGACAGGTCAACATAGTTAAAGTCATTGGCAAAGGGGCTTTTTCACAAGTTGCAAGGGCGACAGTAAACGGCATGCGTGGAAGCCAGGATAACTTGACAGTAGCAGTAAAAATGCTTAAAGGTGTAGTGTAATTTAGTGTACTATATCTAATAAATGGAGATTTGGGTAAGGTTGAGTCCAAAGGTATGTCAATACACTATACTTAAAAGGCATCTCGTTCAATTGGATGGTTTCGATGCAAACAAAACAAAAAAGGCCAAGTGGACAGAGAACACTGAAAAAAGCTCACTGCAGCAAAACGATTACCGTAATAAAATAATATAAAAAACTGAGAAATTTTTTTTGGTTCTTGTTTTTAGCAAATGCTCCAGCTTCAGATAAAAAGGACCTTCTGTCAGAACTTGACGTGATGAAAAAACTAAAACCTCATCCCCACGTGATCAAGCTGTTGGGCTGTGTCACAGAAACCGGTAAGCGATGTGTGAAAAGAGTAACGTTTCAGTTTCTTAAAATTTGTGGCATATAAGATTTCCTGGGGATGATCATACTTCCAATGATTCGAATGATAGAGCGTTTTAAATAATATGGCCAGAAGTTATAGGAACACGTTAATTAGAATAAAAGCAAACGTTTACATAACAGAAGTATTCAATTATTCCCATGGAACAAGTTTGGTACACCAACGTGGCCGCCGTTCCATTGTTTTGGAACACAGTGTGTTCTCCATGGTGTATGCCATGTGGAACAATTTAATAGGCAGATCATATTAGAATGGATATATCACTGAGTTGAACAAAGTCAAACAAAGAGAACTATTATTCCATAAGTTGAAGTAGATAACTTTAATAGCTTACTTATAAACTAATAGAAATGTCAGTAAATTGATTTCCAAATGAACATATGACTTGCTACATTTTTTAAGTATGTTTGAAAGAAATATTGCAAGGTTTCAAAGAAAATGAAATAATGTTGCGGTTAAACCAGTTGAAATTTATGTGCACACTGAGGGGACCATAGAAAGTGTCCGTATTAGTTGAGGGTTTTCTTTCCCCAGGGACAAAGCAAACTGCCCGTAAAAAAATGTGGATGTCTATAAAGCGGGGTTTCACCGCAACTCATGGCTTTTTATTTTCGGCCTTCGCTTCTGTTCCCTAAATTGCATCAAACCTGCAATGATCATACCTCCAGTTAGATTTTGTACTGTGGCAGTTCACATAATCTTCATTGAAAGGTACTAACTTCATTCTATGTCCCTTCGTGCGAACAAAATCATTAATATTTGCTCGGAGAGTAGGTTGGAGAATTTTCTAATGATATGTCATAAGTAGGAACTCAGGTTTGAAGATTTTCTTATTATATTGGTTACCATAGAGCCCTTGTTGGTTTTAATTGAGTATGTCCCGTACGGTGACCTACTGGGCTATTTGAGGAAGAGTCGAGGACTAAACGACACGTACTTTAAGGACCCGGATATGAAGCCACAGACCAATCTTTCAGCAGAACAGTTAATGAAATTCGCTTGGCAGGTCGCAGATGGAATGTGTTACTTATCCTCAAAAAAGGTTTGCTTTAAATGTGATTTCAACTAGAAGTAATAATTTGACTTGAGAACTGATATTGGAACTGAAAGATATTATATTATTGACATTTATCTACAAGATAAACCTTTATGGAACATACAATTGAGCACTCACGGCTTAATTAGAAGCTTAAGTGTTAGTCTTACAAACCTTGCCCAATTCTAAACAAAACATATGCTCAACTAATGAATATCACGTAATGAATATATAAATTTCAAATAAATCTACTAAAAAACTTAGATAAAGATGTGGCCCGAGATACCTATCCCGTGGGTGTGAAGGGTCCGAGCTCGTTGTGTGAGTTTGTGACCAGCAGCTCATGTGGTCATTTGTACCAGTCTTTTCTGAACAAGCTGAACGAGGTGCTCCACTTGCGTTCCTCGTCATATCCAATATATTGAGTGAGAGGTGTAATAGGAGCAGTCCTAATAGAGACTACTCTATTAGGCGAGTATGAAAGAAACACAGAGTTTCGAAGGCGAACAAGGAGGTAAAATCTCACGAAATCTCACATTAGGCACCACGGGAAACTTACGCCAGGCGTAGCGGAATCAGGAGGATCTTTGTCTTGCTAATAACTTTCTCTAGCAATGACCTTTCTTGGCGGTTACTCAAAATAGAGCAAAAAAGTACCATCGCATCTTTTTTCCTCAAATTAGTACAAAATGGTTTCCTCTATCGTCTCCAGCAACTAACAATTTTAAATTCAGGGTGTGGTTTGTAAAAAAAAAAAAGACCTTCTTTCCGTATTAGATAGGATTCCTTTTTTCTATATTAAGCGATTGCCTTCAACGAACTGTCATGATAAAAAATTATGAAATTAACTGGCCTCTTCAGATGAGCCCGGTTGCCGGGACCAATTCCGCCTTGGGTTCAAATGTGAAATTTAAGCCCGGTTTCCAAAATCCTGGTTGGAAAAACCGCGCGCGAGATCTGGGGAACCGAGCCAGCCCACCCTCTCATATGAACACATTGAAGTTAGAGGTAAATAAGCGAGATCTTGGAAACCGGGCCCATGTGAGGAGGCCCTAAGCACAGCTTTGAAAAGAATATTATTTTTATCTTGATTCGATTTTTGAAAAAGCCCTTATAAAAATTTTTTGTCATGTAGATTATCCATCGTGACTTGGCTGCAAGAAATGTTCTGGTTGGTGAAGGAGAGAAATGTAAGGTGACAGATTTTGGAATGGCAAGGGATGTGCATCAAGAAGACATCTACAACAAAACGAGTCGCGTGAGTTCAACTGAGCACACCGTTTAATTTTAAATCATGTTGGGTTTTATCACAAAATTGCGTGGAATAATAATAATAATAACTTTATTTCTATAGCGCTCTTATCCTATGTTCAAGGCGCTTAACAGCCATGTAAACAACATTATTGAAAAATATTTACAAATTTACTACCATATCCTAATATATTTACAATGGATAAAAAAGGAAAAAATTAAAACTAAAAGAACTATTAAACCATATTCATAATGGTAAAAAAAGAGAAAAAATTAAAACTAACGCAATGTATACAAATCTATAAAAGCAATGATCCGTTATCACTGAATTTAGTAAGCAAGTACGTCTTAAGTGATCTTTTAAAACTCGAGATGGTGTTGGACTTCCGAATTTCATAGGGTATTAAGTTCCATTCTCTTGGTGCGTGAACAGCGAATGCTCTATCTCCGTAGGTCTTGGTATAAGATCTAGGTTGCACTAAAAGTTCATTACTAACAGACCTCAATGATCTAGAATGAGAACGATAATGTAGTTTTTGAGCTAAATAGCTAGGCGATGTCCCATTCAGTGATTTATACACGACGAGCAGAATCTTGAAAATAATACGATATTGAATCGGTAGCCAGTGAAGCTCACACAAAACAGGTGTGATATGCTGAAACTTACTCACTTGCAACACAACTCTAGCCGCCGTGTTTTGTACATACTGCAATCTTTGTAACTGATACTTAGGTAGGCCGTATAATAATGCATTACAGTAATCTAGTTTCGATGTGACAAATGCATGAACAGCAACTTCTGCTGATTCTTTAGTGAAATACTTCCTAATTCTAGATAGGTTCCTGAGATGATAAAATGATGATCTACAGATGCTAGACACATGTGCATGAAAAGACATGTGCTCATCAAAGATAACACCAAGACTCCTAGCCGACTGAGAGGCAGCCACGCTCTCATTACCAACACATCAGGACTGAAAGGATGGAGAGGGACGATTCTTTGAGTGGATAAGCATGACCTCCGTCTTGTCGTGGTTTAGCTTCAATTCGTTGAGATCCATCCAGCGACATATTGCAGAATGCAAAGTATAACTGAGTATCGTCATCGAACAGATGATAATCTAAGCCATAAGATCTTATCACTTTAGCAAGTGGCGCAGTATACAGAAGGTAGAGAACAGGTCCAAGAACTGAACCTTGGGGAACACCCAAAGGGAAGATCTCGTACCGTAGAATTCGCCTGTAGTCAGGGGCTCAAAATTGCTACTTTGAAACTCCAGTATCCTTAGCGGCGTTTAAAAAGTTGCTGAGAAAGTAAAAACAATCAAAACATCGTCATAAGGGCGGAAATTAAATTTTAAAAAAATATATTATTGATTCTAATTTGATTGTTTTGTAAGGGGCGTCTGCCAGTGAAATGGACTGCTTATGAATCGTTGATGTATGGAACATACACTACACAGAGTGATGTGTAAGTATTTTTTGTATTAAAGTCAACATTTTTTTCACGTTAAGCATGTAGAATGTTGTCTTTTCCGATGGGTCACAAGGCTTTCGTCTGTCTCTTTTATGCCTAAAAAGAAAGGTATGTTACGTTCAATAATTAAACTTCAACGATAATTATCTCAACAAAATGAAAGACAAGTTCAAAGGTGACTGTAGCTTTTAGAAAGCCGGTGCACAAGCCTTCTCTTTATCATTTTAGTTAGTTATTTCTGCTGACGCTGATTGTTTTGTTCTAGCTGGAGTTATGGCGTCGTACTTTACGAGATTCTTACTGTTGGTGAGTTGGGAAAATTGTTCATTCTGATATTTTGTTGTGCACTCTATTTTGTTCTTGTTTTTCATGGTTCGTAATAGATAGAACAGATACAAAATAAAACAAAAGCAAACCTCCATGTACCTTAATGTCAATAATCATATCGGAATGATTGAGCAAACAAACAAACAATGCTTGATCGGTTTTTATTATCTTTTTAAATAATATTGTGTACTGTTCTTTTGAGAAACAAAACATTCCAAAACTCAGAGCCAAGGTTTACCAATTCGAGTTAATATTAGTTTTTTTCAAATCGCGTAAACTTCCCTTATATGTTTTCGCTAGTACAGAAAAACATTTCTTTCCGTTATGTACTCTTCTTGCTAGTATAGCTTTATCTCTTCCAGGAGGATCTCCATATCCGGATATAAATGCCCGTAAAATCGCCCAGAAACTTCAGGAAGGATACAGAATGCCAAAACCAAAACACGTTGAGATTAAACTGTGAGTTATAATACGAGTAGGGAAAAGAAAGTTCTAAGAAGTGAAAAAAATTATGAGTACGGATTCAGTTCCAAAAATCAGTAGCCATGCTATGACTATTAGGTTTCCGTAACTGTTCCTGCGTATTCAGATCCTCAGAAATAAGTGGGGCCCCGCTCATCCAGAGCCTAATATTAGAGGGGAACCGGCCTCGTCAAAAATATTTATCAGCCCTCCGGGGGGTTAAATTCGACCAGAAATAATCGGGTTCCAGGCTCCTCCCCTAGTTTGGTTAGTGATGTAGCGATGGGTAATATGTTTTTCTCGATTAGCTATCAGATTATGCTTGACTGTTGGAGGGAAAACCCATTGGATCGTCCTACGTTTGAAAGACTGAGGTACACAATGAAGGAGATGGAGAGAAATCATAAGGTAAGAAGAGTAAGAACTTAATCTAAAAGGGAGAAACAGTCATGGATACAGAAGGTTCATTTAGGGAAGAAGTTAATCATTGTTCAAGGGCTGAAGCTGAGAGGTGCCTGTAGCACTTCCCTCCCCCTCTTTCATCTCAGTAAGAGACTGATTCAATATTAAATTGATTGTTGTTTTGCTTTCATTTTTCATTCCGCTTGGTTTCCTCTGAAGCAGTTAACTTCAGTTGAAACTTCTATCCGTTACACTACATGCATTACTGACCACAGTACTGCAAAATCGCCGTCGACCTAGTTAGCTCATTTGGTTGAGTGTCAGACCTCAGAAGGCATATAGGGTCCTGAAGTAACTGATGAAAAGGTGCTTCCATCGTTTAAATTGTGTAATTAAATATTTAGATCTCGATCCCTCTCAATCATTCAGGATAACCACAGAAAAATGTAGTCCTCGCAAACTTTTTTTTTTTACTTAATCTGAATCCGTAAAATTTTAAAGAACCACCAGGTATGCAACGAAACGATTGATAGTGACTACTTCTGGTTTGTCGCCGTCCTTAGTCTTGGGTTGATAATCTGAAGGGAGAGATTCCAAGATGGAGATTACTTGTCTGTCTTCCTTCAGTAATCATAGAAGTTGCCTGTAAGCTATGTTTGAGTAGTAGGTGAAATGAATTGTTTTTGACGTCGAGTGTGACTGCGGAATAAAAATCCTTCCATCTCAATTTCCTTATACAACTTTGCATTTCTTTTATTGTTTTATTTTTCCAGATATACGTCAATTTGAAACAATATGACCACAGCCTTTACGCTAACGTAAACGACTTGAAAGCTGTGTGACTGTACAGCTGTTACTGGGCCGAAGGATCGCATCACAAGCTGACGAATCAACCTAAATTTTGTCTTTTAGTATTGTTATTATTGCTATTATTTCTATTATTAATATTACTGTTATTATTATTGGTAGTAGTAGGAGTAATAGTAGTAGTAGCAGTAGTAGTGTAGTACTAGTAGTAGAAATAGTAAATAGAGCGACTTTAATTGTACCTGTGAAATAGGTAGTAGAATACCACGAACTATTATCCATTAGTATATACACACTCAGTGATCTTGGGGATTTAAGCAATCTGATTGGCTCGCTATCTCGGACTTCTTTTGTTTACCTGTTTTTTTTTTTAGCACTAATTTTTAGTATCTGTTTCACGGTTCAAGTTAAATCACTCTCTAAGAAACAGTATTATTGTTATTTTTGTATTTCTCTTCACGTTGAAACAAAACGAAGACCATGTTGACAGAAAAGACCAAAACGACCAAAACACAACTTTAACAGCTCTCATTGTTTATGCCCTAAACAGAAAGGAAAACGCGTTTCACGTGCATGGCTTTATTGGCTTGTGTTAAAGAACACTGTTTTTGTATTGTGCCCTACTGGTTTATTTCGCTGATCATTTGTTATTAGAAGGTCCAGAATCCATTCATAGAGTACCGTAGTCAGAATGAAGTGATATCTGGTTGAAATAATTTTAAAAAATACCATAGCGGCAATATTAAACTTAAATTTTCATAAATGTTTACACATCTTGCCAATGCTGTTGTATTACTGGATTCATGCCACTAGAGGTTAGTGTTGAAAGGCAAAGTATTGATGAGGATTACCTCCCAAATATGCCAGCAGGCATTTCACATCTGCACCTGGCTCCCATGCTAAGATCTAAAAAAAGTTCTCTCCATCTCCCGCTTATGTTAAATATATCTTGCCATCAGAACACCACAACAATAATTAGGCAGTATTCGTATTCCCCGACGGCCCTGGGACGAGTAGACTGTTCTGCACGAATGCGAGGCTCGTGCGGGGAACTACCGCGAAAATACAAGAAAGTTATGGCAAGTTATGGCCAATCTGGTAGAAATAGAAGTAAATTTTAAAAACTAGAAGGTTCCAGAGCTTAAAAAAATACCTGGAGGATCGAGGGATATCGTTCTCCAACAAAAAGAAGGAAGAATTACTCGAATTAACGGAAAAAGCACACGAACTCGATCTTGAATTGACGGACGACGGCGAGTCTATTAGTGATGTTGTGAACGCGAAGTTGGTTACAAAAGATGGTACAGTCTCGAATCCTTTTAACCGCTATTCTGACTGGAGCACTGATTTTTCTGATGCCCCAAACTTTGCCTGGGGAGATTTGTACTGTTATTTAATAAACAAAAAGGGATATATATGACCAAGAATACCTGAACGCGTACAAGTCTCTTGAGGGGTATCGCTTACACTGGGATGGACACGCGTACAATCTACGAAGAAACAAGAACATCTAGTTTAAACACCACATTATTAAATTCTCTGTTAAACTTACACAAAGACAGAAAACACCATTAGGTGACAAGCCGACGTATGATGATTGGATTATTATCCACAAGGGTGGAATTGTTCTCTCTGCACATTGCCCTTGCATTGCCGGGTAAGTACAGCTGGCGATAGGACTGTTTGCTTTAAAATTTTTTCATCATTGTTTGACAATTAGAACCTTCTTTCAATTTACAGCTCTGACGGAGCTTGTAGACACATAGCAGCGGCACTCATCGAACTTGAAGACACTCTTAGAAGAATTGATCACTTGTACTAGCGAAAAATGTCTATGGAAGAGAAGAAAGAGGGCACACAACGAAGCCAGTAATTTAGAAGAAATGACCTTTACCGAACCTGAAATCGGCAAAACAAAGAGAATGACAGTGAAGCCTTTCACAAGGAATTATGATCCACGCACAAAGGCAGCTGTAAAAAATAAAAATCTAGTTGAACAGTTCAGAGAATTGCTTATTAGTACAGTTCCTTCAGCTGTAGGCCTTCATTTACTACCTGACACTGGGTTGAATAAAGCAACCCGGAGCTACTGAAGAAATAAGAACACAGAATAATGAAAGTGATCCACCTTTGTCAAGTGATAATATCAGCTTGTCTAGACAAGAGCAACCATTTCATTTAGGATATATATCACCTTTCAAGAACCACCCCTTAAGTGTTGATGAAATTAAGCAGAAGGCACAAGGAATAAAAAGAAAACTCAGCTTCACTGATTATGAAAAAAAAAATTATTGAAAAGAAAACAAGGCTTCACAGTCAAGAATCTGACTGGTTTTTGTGCAGAAAAGGTCGTATATCAGCCTGTAAATGTAAAAGAGTGGCAAGCCTTAAGCCAGCTACTTCCCCTTCCAAAACATTGAAGGAGTTACTGGTGAACAATACCCCCTAATCCACTGCAATGCTACAAGGACTACAAAATGAGAAGGGCATTGCAGAAGCATTTTTATAAACAAGTGGGATAGCGACGGATCGAAGGGAGTCTTAATTACAAAGTGTGTCTTTTTTATCAGCAAAACCCATGGTTTTTTAGGTGCAAGACCAGGTGGTATAATTACTGATCAAGAAGAAATTACCCCTGGGGTTGTTGAGTTTAAGTACATTCAAGTTAAACCTGGTGAAACTTTAACAGATATCCTTTTAAGGCAACACAAGGTGCAACACAAAGATAATGAAATTATTCAGCTCAACCAAAACCCCAAATATTACTTACAGTTGTACCAGCAAATGTTTGTCACAGAATATCACTGGGGAGTTCTTGTAGACCAGGGGTCAAATGGAGACTTGTTTTATGAAAAAGTGAATTTTACAGAAAATTTCTGGTCTCCTGTCCTAGTGAAACTTTAACAGATGTCCTTTTAAGGCGACACATATGTTTAAAGGTGCAACACAAAGAAAATGAAATTATTCAGCTCAACAAAACCACAAATATTACTTACAGTTGTACCGGCAAATGTTTGTCACAGAAAATCACTGGGGAATTCTTGTAACCCAGGGGACAAATGGAGTTTTGTTTTATGAAAAAGTGATTTTTACAGAAAAATTCTGGTCTCCTGTACTTAAAAAACTTGAATCTTTTTTTGACACATTCCTTGTTTATGAACTTGCTTATCCAAGGGTTCAACATGGACTAGAACGCATAGTGTTCTAGAGAAACCCAGAAGAGTGAAATACAATTTATAATAATTTAAACCAATTTAGATCTATTGAACAGCAAAAATGTTTTTAATTTTAGGCTACACTACCACCCATTAGGTGTGCAGATCAACAGCCTTGTTGTGTAGATAATGCCATTTACTTTTTGACAAGTGGTTTTAGCAGGTTACAAAGTGCTGCACAGACAAATACAGTCTGATTAGCCACTGCGGCAATACTGATAGGGATGACTCCTTGCAATAATCTAATAAACTTCTTCATTCTTTGGATGGCTCTGTCAACATGAATTCTATCCGTCTTGTTTTAGTACATGCTTTAGTTGACAGACGCTTCCCTTTGGCAAATGGGGGTATCTTCAGTGTTGCATTTCTCTTGGTAACAAGGTCTCTTAGGTTAAATCCCCGATCTGCCATGACATCATCCATGGGCTCTAGCTTTTCAAGTAACCCTGACCTAATAGTTATTGCACGGTCAGATATTGCCCCAGAGTAAAGGTCAGAGATGAAACTAAATATTCTTGAAGGGTTTATTCCAACATTCAAGCAGTTTGAATGTATTGTGGCTTTTGTAATCACTCCAAGTGACTTTCTGAGAAGAGGGGGCACCGGGTTTCTCAATCTTTAATTCTGTGCAATCGATAATAACTCGCGTTCTTGGATACTTGAAAAAGAATTTTAGTAAATGCCTTTTTACTAGCTCTTTAGATGGCCACGTAATGAGAACTTCTTTCTGAATACATGGTACAAAATAGTAATCCACGTGGTGAAGATCTTTGACACAGAAGACTGGGAGATAGAGAACAACGGTCTGCTATTTGTTTCTTTAGTAAGCTCAAACGAAGGCAAACAAGCACCATAACAAATTCATCAAATAGGGGTAACTGCCTCTTCTGGCCAGGTTTTCCTTTGTCACAGTTTTCCTGAAGAAATACAGAAGAACTTTGATAACTTGAACTCAGATAACTCAAATTCCCCGCTGAATCAAAATGTTTTGTTTCTTTTCAGAATTCGAGTTACCGAGGTTCTACTGTAATAAAAAGAGGGAAGTCAGAACTTTATGGATTAGTATTTGCAATTATTTTTTTTGTTGTTGTTCATGCTATCCCAGGGGGTACTCCGGATCTCAGGTGACCAAGATGATGGAAGGAATTTTTTTGGTAGAAACATTAAGTATTTTTTTGAGTGGCTTGATTTAAGTAGCTATTGCTTTTTAGGTTTCCTTGATAAATAAACATAAGCATTCATTTCTAATGTTTTTGTGTTTCATGTTCTATCATTTGATGCTTTCTGGGAAATTTTAAGACTAAAAAATTAAAAAAAGGCATGAGAATTTTTTCTGGTTAATTTTAGGTCCAGGGATTTTTCGGGGTTTCAATTTTTTCGCTCATTCGATCTTCCCTGTCACTTGAAATGCAAAGCGCCTTCCCCGGGCATGCATACATATACAGAACCTTGAGAACAGGCAATTTAGTAGCGTAAACAGGGAAATTTTATTTTCCTCTCAAAACGTACAAATGAGATGCTGACTCTCACTTTACTTACCTATGTACTTCAAGGGCAAATAAGATGGTTTTTACTTGTGGTGAGGAAATAGAAAAACGTAACTGGATTTTTGGTGAAACATTTTGTGAGCAATGAAGACTACATTAATTACTACAGTTTTACCTGGTACGTTGCAGCTCGTGTCTTGTTCTTTCGGTCCCAATATTTCATTGAACTTCCAATAGAATAGCATGAGAAGACACGAAAGTGAAGGTGAGCCAGTATCAAACTGGACCGAGGAATCGTCTCGTTGCACATCCTCCATAAACAATTCTCTTTTACTACACCGCGGCGATTTTGTAATTTAAAGTGCGCCTGTTCCATTCTGGTGATTTGATCAGCCGATAAATCTGTCTGGACCGCTTTATCGTGCAATAATTGTCTTTGATCTTGTCACGACTCACGTTGAGTTCTACTGGCTGAGATTTTTCGAACAATTTTGCTGGTCACCGATCAAACTTTCACTTAGATTTAACTCCCGTGTCACAAGCAATAAATCCTGATTTACGGTTTCCTCACCTGTACAACTTTCATTGTTTTCCAAATGAACTTCTTGCTGTTCCACCAAATCCGGACATTTTCTAACCTTCGAGTTGCCACGTTTGCTTGCCTTCTGAATTTTGCTTGTTGTGGCAGCATTTTTCAATCGTCTCCCCTCCGGATCCTGGTGTGGTTTCACTTCTTTTCGCTGGAGATTTTCAGGAAAATCGAATATCGTAGGAACAGGGTTTGCATTTGTTGGCCCTAACCCTCCTTCAAAATGTTTAGCACATATACGAGTGTGCTTTGTGACATTTAGGCTTTCCAGCCGGCATGCTGCGATCCACCTTCGACGTCTTTCCTGTTCACTCATTCCAGGAACATACTGTATTTTTTCGTTATTTTGTGGAAAACATTTGCAACTTCGGGATATTTGACTGGGTCCTTTTTTCTTTTCCTTGCTGTTCGTACAGGTGTAGGCACAACAGTGATGTTTCGGCATTTTCACGCAAAATCTTTAGAAATCGCCAAACAAAATAGTGAGCGTCTCTTTAATTTTTCCCCGCATGAGCCTCGCATTCATGAGCATGGCCTACTCGTCCCATGGCCGCCGGGGAATACGAATATCGTCTATTTATTGTACCCAATTAAGGATGGTGCCCACTATTGTTACTGCGTACATTTTCTGCGCATGCCAAGGTAGTCGCGCGCGACGCGAAAGAAATGCGCAACACGCAGGACACGCGGACTGGTTTTGTCTCCGCCAAGTCTGGGAGGTTCTAGTTATTTCTTGTGGAAAAGATGCGTCGTTTTTCAACAGATGGAAAATAATTTCTATTTACCTTGTCAGTTCTTTGAAAACCGATGAAGTATGCGCATGTTACTATTTCTGCCGTTTGGTCGATCTGACCACACATTTTATAGTCAAACAAAAGTCAATTCTAAAACATCAAAAGTTATTGCTTCGAGATGTTACCCATGGAGCTTGGGTATTAAACAATCCCTTAATAGGTAAGGATCAGTAAATCAGAAGGAAAATAGCTCTAAGTCCGCCGCCTAATCGACAACTGCACGCTTACCTTTCACTCGCGTCCTTCGCATTTTATCGGCTAATCGGCTATAAACACTTTCCCGAATGTTTCTTTAATTTTGTAAGATTTTATGTAACTTTTAAGCAGAAGATAGACTTAGAGCGTTCGAGTACATACAGATGTCCCTTTTATTGAGAGTCTGAGGCTTTTATTTGACGAACAAACAAGTAAAAACTATCACAAGATTGCTTGGATTACCGAGATCGCAGCTTCACAAATAGTTGCGGACCGCAAAGGAAACGCTTTCATCGTGGAGAAAATCGTAAAAAATTGTTATGCTTTTTACTATTATCATTGTTATTTAAGCATTTTGGCAGTAAGCATTAAAATTATTGACTGATGGGCAGCTTGTCGTGTAGATAGTATTTCTTAAGGTTCAATTTTACGCCAAACATAATCTGGACATTTAGACATAGCTGCCATTTGTTGCTGTTTACGAACTAGAGATGGAAGGTAAATAAAGTATTTCCATTCTAAGACTTTCTTAGGTTTAACAGACACTGTTAAGCATAAAATTAACATTTGGGAACCAAAAATAGTGAATGAACATGACACAGAATGATACAGTAAAAAAAATCAAAACAAAATACATAAAATGATCATTATAGCCCAGTTTATCTATGAGGGTACATAAACGCATTCGGTACAACTACTTTCGCAGTATTCAGCTTTTTTAAAAGAGAGCTCATGATCATGTATGGAACTTGAGTCTATATATGCAAATAGTTTATGTGGTATGACACTTGTGGCAAAGCCCGAAAGAGGTAGCGCAAAGCACAGATATAAGATCATTGAATGCATGCAAGTTTAATAACAGTATTCGATCGAGGTACCCGGTAAAATGATAAAGAACGATAGAAGGTTTACAATCCATATTACATGTACAGTTAAAAAGATCTTTAGGACATGTAAAGGTAAACAAAAGATTGAAGGAGTACCTGTCTAAGAGTCCCTGTCGACTATTTTCCACTACAGTACAGTAGTTTGTTTACAGCGCCAGCCTTGGATCTTGAGCTCGACATACTACTCTGCGTGTGCTGGAAGTAATCTTTAATCCCTTCGAGATTGCTCTTCTCCAAAAATTTAGTTAAATTTTTGAGACGGAGAAGCTCCAGTTGAATGAAATAGTATATTTGTTTTCCTTATGGCCCATGAAATGTCCTGCTTCACTTTCTGTTTTTGCTCTCTTCCGTGGGTTGTTGTTCTCTGACTGTCAGCCACTGTGGATATCCCAGAGTACTCCGCGTTGAGTAAAGCAATTGTGAAACTGACCAGGGAGGGGATGGGAAAAATTGTAAATAATCCCCAAAGCGATTAAGTTAAGGCAGAAACCAACCAATCTAACTTCTAAAAACGCGTGGTAACCCCTAATTTTTATCTTACCAAATGAAAGTAATGAGCCTACTCAGCAAACGATCAATTTTTGGTTCGGGGAAAATGTCGTTTAAACTATTTTTAAGGCAAACGCGTGAAGAGGGGTAACTGCTGATAACTTCCCATTTGTGCTGATATTTCAAAAAAAGAAGTATAAAGAGCAGTTGTTATGTTATCACTTGTTGCTAATTTTAAAACCTTAGTGCAATTATCATTGAATTTGTGCCAGTTCACGTGTACACTTCGAAATTTTGGGAAAAAATAACTTTTTATGATTTTTCTAAAAAATGCCTATTCAGCGTTTTTCTCCATATTGAAGCGCAGTTATCTCTGAAAAATGCGTGGTTACCCCCAGTTTTCTTTTTGGATTTCAATAGCCCCTGACATGATCTACTTGTCTCACATAGTCATTATCTGGGAAAAAATACTTCCCATTAGTGGGCACCGTCCTTAAGGCAAGAATAAATGTTATCAAAATGGCATTGCACTTGTCTATACAGAATATATAGAAATCGCAAATTCTGCCTTTCCTAGTATGATTTTTTTGTGGCTGTCACCACTTTTTGTGATATATGGTTTGCAGCTGCCAAGCTTATACTTTTCTAGACGAATGATTAAACGGTGTCGGCATCAAGTCGTTATATTTGTAACAAAATATATATGCATGAGCCCTTTTTTGGTGTGGATATGAACAAAACTGTTAGTCGGAGAGGTAACAGAAACCAACATTTTTAAAAAGAAAGTCAAGCAAAGCTTTCAAAACCCTCCCTGATTAGTCGATTGTAAGTAAATGTTTCGAGATGTTTGCAACCTCATCATAAAATCCCACCGTAATCATGTGTTGATCTATCGTTCTGATTCAAAGTGAGCTGTATTACGTCAGTTGATGGTATTAAAATCAGGTTACTGATTTGATTGGTCAACTAAGGTCGCGATGTTAATCGGTTGTCTCTCAGTTAAGCCGTGATGTTATTGGCTATGAAAACTAATTGACGAGTTACAACTAGCTTTGACCCTGAAAATGGCTATCGCACAGGTTGTCGAAACGTCAGTCACTGTCAAAGACAGTCTTCAGGACTGCTCTCACCTGGATAATCATGCTCCTCCGTCCTAATTATCGGTCATGTTGAAACGCAGACCATGCAGACTGCAGACTGCAGACTATGCAGACCGTGCAGACTGAGCGTTATTTTTTTACTTGTATATTGATTTTCTAGTAAAATTTTTACTATAGTTTCCTGCTTCCTCTCATTATATATTTGCACTGTGCATCACCACCATATGTGCACTGATGTGTACCTGCAAGGGTCATCAGTAGGAAATGAGAAAATCACGGGCTCATGTTTACCGGCAGATGTAAACAACGACATGTATCTGTAAGATTTGAAGAAATGACGGCAAGTCACCGGTTTGAATTACAGAGAGAAACCAAAGACGATCATCAACAATCAAGGAAATTGAGGAAATGTCTCTCACGTAGCCGCTGTAGGAAGCCGAAAAGGGTTTTATTTTAAGTCACTTAACCTGAAAAAGCACCTTCTACTAATAAAAAATTTAAATAATCATGGCAATATAATACAGTTACAGAAAGAAACAGCTTACCTTCCTCCATCGTGCTCGCTCCTGCGGGAAACTATAGTAAAAAAGTTCGCTGTGGCTATATGGCCGGTAACCGGTCAAGGTGTTGAAAACACTAAGTCGTGCTTCTGCCGTGCCGAACTAAATTCAGGAATTAAGTTCGACAAAAGCACGGCAGAAACACGGCGTATGAATCAAACTTTTGAATTAAGTTTGGCAAGCAATTAAGTTCGACAAGCGCTGCCGTGCTACACGGCTCTGGCACGGCAGTGATTCAAACGTCGTGCTTCTGCCGCGCTAAACAAAATTCATAAATTATATTAATGTATTTTGGCGAGATTGCGTTCCCACGGGGAGTTGGGAGAAGAATTGTTACGAGGCATCAGTAAATCCTGAATTTGGTTCGACTCTAGCACGACGTCAGAATCAAAGTTGTTTTCCTGCCGTGTTACAGTCGAACCAAATTACAATTAAGTTCGGCACGGCAGAAGCACGACGTCTGAACTGGGCCTAAATGACCTGCAGTCCCATATTCCGCAAATTTCACAAAATCGAAAGACGCTAGCTAATCTAAACTGTCATATGTCGATTAAAACAAGTCAAGCGATCCTGAAATGCTTTATAGATCTCAAGTCTAGTGTTTGGTTTACGCTGGGCTCTAAAGACGAAACCGTGTTTTGTCCTACTTAGAACTTTTTTCAGTTCGACTGCTGGTCAAGGCTTTCAAAACACTATATAAATGGCCGGCAGTCCCATATTCTCAGTAAATTTCACAAATCGAAAAAATTCAGCCGTTCTGAACTATCATAAGTCGTGATCCTGATCAAACCAGCCGGTTTTGTGAGATTTCTATATTATGATTTTGTTGGTCTCGAGTCTTTGGATGTTCGTGACTATTTTCTATCTAAAACATGGGTGACAGGCGACGTTTGACGTCATAACATTTTCATCTTTCATGCGGCCCCCGTGGAAAACCGGCGCGAAAAGTCTCTACGCGTTAGTTCCCTTCTGGAGCTGAAATACACTTTAACATTATCTTGTCGACGTTATGATGAAACAAAAAAGCTTTTTTGTACAAGGTAATCTTAACTTTGCGTGGATAGAAATAATATCCAGTTTTCAGTATTTGTTCTTTGCCATCGAGTGGACTGCGAAATTTACTGAGAATATAGGACTGCCAGCCATTTAGTGTTTTGAAAACCTTGACCGGTTACCGGCCATTTAGCCACAGCGAAAAATTTTACTAGAAAATAAGGTACAAGTAAAAAAAAATAACACTCAGTCTGCACAGTCTGCACAGTCTGCACAGTCTGCACAGTCTGCACAGTCTGCACGGTCTGCACGGTCTGCACAGTCTGCAGTCTGCAGTCTGCATGCTCTGTGTTTCAACATGACCGACTAATTATGGAATGACTCCTGGGTTTAAACCTGTCACAGTTTAAACAAATTTGAGTGGATAACTTTTATGAAGATAGGATATCACTTATACCAAAGGTCCTCAGTAGTTTCATCGATTCATCGATTGAAAAGGGTAGCCAAGCTAACTAATTCACTTCGTCTTGCGTAGTTTTCTGCCTGCCACTTTGAAGGTGTAGATTTTTGGAAGTCGTGAGGACGATGTTTGCTATTTAATCCAGGGAAATTATACAAAGTACGGAGTGGAACTCATTTCCGTGGAAACTTCCCAGTTTACCGGAAAAGAAAATATCTCGCTTCTGAAACGACCCTACAAACTGGAGAATAACGAAATGAAAGTCCATCTGGTGCTTGTGGTTATTTTTATCGCCCAGTCGTCAGGTAAGCCTGTAAACGAAGTTACGAGCGCGAAATACTATCTGATATAACCTACCTACTACCTTGTAACTAAAACCTAATTAAAGAAATTATATATATGGACATCATATCCACAGCTCTTACCTTGCGCATTGCATTTTATAGTTCTTGGTAGCTTGCCGTATTGTAACTAGATTTACGTAAGACTTCATTTAGCTCATGGTGCTCGTTGTCAAAACTGGGCTGGAAGCACATTACATTCGTAGAAAACTCGCTCAGAAACAGTGTGGATGAATGACTTTCGGTATCTACAATCGTCTGATGTCGTCTCCAGCCAAAGAAATATTTTAATCCTAAACTGTATTCGTTGCACGCCAGTGATTTGCAACCGCGGAAGCACGATAAGAAGCTGCACCAAAGGGTACATATTAAGTTAACCTTGTTGGAGGATGGTCGTGTACAACTGTCACTTCGTTGTTTAATGTTTTACGAATAATAATCGTGTCCGCAGGTTCGAGTCATTCAATGTGTGGCTGACCCACTCTCTGATGACACGTGTAGGGCTTTAACATTAGCTTATCTGTATTCACTGATTCCTGATTATGTGTTCGCTGATGACACAAAATTTCGCTAAGCTGCTGCATTGCGGTTGTAAAATTAGGTAAAATTCCGGCCTGAATTAAGACGAACAGTTAAATTAATCAGGGTTTGTGACCAATTTGGTTGCATCTAAGCAAAACATTGACAAAATGACAATGAACGAAATTAGAATACGGAATCAAAGGAAGAGAAATGGGTGGAGATACCGGATACACAGTTGAAGCATGCATGTCAACGAGAGTGAGAAGGTCAAGCTAAATATCAGCTAAAAACATTAAACTGCATGGTCACTGAGAGCTTTGACATTTAACAATTATTCCACGAGCGCACGTTGGATATGAGATGGTAAAGAGCCAACGAAGCGCGTAGCGCCGAGTTGGCTATAATCATCTCATATCCAACAAGCGCGAGTGGAATAATTGTTTTATTAATAACATATCTGTAGCTTATGGTATATTAGCTCATACACCATGATAGCTAAGCCAATGAAAGATGAAGCTGACCAAGAAGGTTAAGATTTTTTGGAGAAGCTATAAACAACACCATAGTGACTTCTTGACTGTATAATCTGATCGAAAACTAATAAACGAATGAATAAAATGAATAACTTATTTTTACAAAGAAAAACTTCACCTTGTGTTTTGAACCACTTAATCTCAGATCAAAATCATTTTGAAAAAGTAAAATGGCTTCATTCCAGCAAATGTTGAGACTCCAAATTTTGGTTTAGCCCTTGTTTTTGACATGTAACCGTTTTATAATATAGAATTAAATGCCTGTCAAAGACCTCAATCATTAGCGAATACAATTTTAAATTGCTTTTAAGCAAATTAGTATAACTTAAGTGTCAAGTTCATACAACTTTAAATTGTTGTACGAACATCAAATTTACTTGTAAGTTATCTTGTACATATACTTTTATTTAAGGTCAGATAAACTTCATTCAAATATATGATGGCAAGGACGTTTTCGGAGTAGTTGGTTCATCCATTAACTTTACTTGGTACTTTTCAAATGGTGTGGAAACCGTAACTTGGGGACTGAAGGATTCTGTTAGTTCCACAGTTGATTTGAATAAGAAGCTCATATCTATTGGACTTCAAGGACAATTACCTTTGACACCCCCTCAAGCATATGTTGGACGAGTAAGTGGGAGTGGTAGTGCCTCCTCCGGCTCTGTCAATTTTACCCTTACTAAAATCAAGAAAAGCGATGAGGCATTTTATGGCAGCGAGTTATTTCCTGTGGGTCCATATTCTACAGCCTTTGATTATGTACATTTAGTCGTTCAAGGTGGGTATTAATGAAAATATTTTTTCCTGGTAGCTAAAACTGTTATGTGTACCCGCAGTAAGATGTGTTTTAAATCTTGACAACGATCAAATATAACCGAGACCCTGCTGATTGTACCCTTTGAAGGCAGTTATAGTTTTGGCAAATTTGTTATTGCTGTTGTTTAACACCAAAAACAACAAAAATATCGGCCAACCTTAACAAGTTTTTGTTACGTGAGTATTTAAATTCCAGAATATTGTACCCCCCAAATTAACGGCGAATGGGCGAAGTTTTTAATACGTAAAAGTATTCTTTTTTTCCGTTCCTGTTCCAATTTTATTAAAAAACGCAATAAAGCAAAAATAAAAAAAAAGAGACAACCACCAAGGACACAAAAAGTTCATAAGACTATAAAAGCAGACTGTTACGCCGCAAAATTTAATATTAACGCAAAATGTAATAAGAATCGCCGCAAAATGTAATACTGACGCAAAATGTAATAACTGTGACGCAAAATGTAATAAAATTTTCAACGCAAAATGTAATAATCTTTCAACGCAAATTGTAATAGCTTTTCTAACGCATAATGTAATAACGCAAAATGTAATAATTTCCGAATAATGACGTGCATGCTATTTCAAAATCGGTATTGTGGCTCAGTAATCAGTAGCTGATCCAGATCTTCATTTGAATTATTATTATTATTATTATTATTATTATTATTGTCATTATTAATATTGATATTAATAATAGTAATAATATTTATTTTCTTCTTCTTCTTCTTCTTCTTCTTCTTCTTCTTCTTCTTCTTATTATTATTATTATTATTAATGAAATAACGGTTGAAACGTCGTGTTACTTCCGTGCTGAGCTAGTCTCCCTCGCAGCCGTGTTTTGTCTCGTCACGCAACACTCTTCCCCAAAAAAGGAGGAGGAGCGTCTTGTGACGAGACAAAAATGGCTGCAAGAGCTTGCTGTACTGTACCACAACAGTAGCAACTGAGAGACTTTGTTTAATTTCAGATGTTGAATTTAATTCAGTCAAATAAAATAGCTGTTGTCGAAAACAAGTAGTAGAATCAACTTTCAAAGCATAATTCAAATGCATTTAAAATATAAGATATCTGTCACACTTTTTTTCATGAGAACTAGACAACTTTGGCTGTAGCTTGCTTTTCCTAAGTTCTCACTTAATAGAGGCTGAATTGTTCTTAATGCTGTTTTTTAGGTCGAAGTTTCTTTTATGTTAAAGTTTCCAAGCTTTGCAAAGTCAAATCAGTTTGCCTGGAAGAGATAGCGCAAATTTTTTTAGTTAGCCCTGTAACGCATTTTTGATTGGAGCAGAGCTAAGCATTGAATTTGCCTGGCAAGGCAGTTGTGATTAGAAGACAGGTCATCCTCTTTTTTCTCCGTTTAGCGTCGTCCGACCGACCCAAATTTTTGGCATTTTCCAAAAAAGGTACCGACGAAGTTAAACCATTTTTCACTTAAAATAATTCTTTTAATCATTTTTTACAGTATATTGTGCATTTTGTTAATCCAAATATGTGAATGTTAAATTTTGACGTCGTCCTGGGGTACCAGGGCCTCCTATTCCGAGACTTCTTTTGATTTTGTTTTTTAGGTTTTTTTTTTTTTCAATCCGACCGACCGATTCAATATCAGGAGACACACTCGATGCTAAACGAAACCTTGAATTTGCTCAGCAACGCAATCGCACCAAATCTTGAACCGGGGGATCCATAAAAAGTGTTCAATTTCGTCTTTTTAGGGCCGACCATTTTTGACCACTTCTTGGGAAGGGTGTATGGGTAATTTGATTTGGGTTAGAAATTTGATGGCATGCACGTCGTTGTTCGGAAATTATTACATTTTGCGTTATTACATTATGCGTTAGAAAAGTTATTACAATTTGCGTTGAAAGATTATTACATTCTGCGTTGAAAATTTTATTACATTTTGCGTCAATGCTATTACATTTTGCGTTAGTATTACATTTTGCGGCGATTCTTACTACATTTTGCGTTAATATTACATTTTGCGGCGTAGCAGACAAACACAAGCGTACATCTCTGCGAAGTCTGTTAATAGCTACTTCTCTATGAAGCTTCTATGATCACGAAGTCTGGGGTCTGTTTGTGTCTTGTTGCTGGAAGAGACTGCAGCATGACGGACACTGAAAACCCTTTACTGCGTGAAGTATTTTTCTGGGCATTGAAACTCAATGATAATCTCAATGTGTTAAAATAATCAACAATCAAGATTTGATAACACAAACTTCAGTATGTGGCATATACAAAACATCAATAATGCGCGATCAAATTTAAAGCAGCTCTAAGGAAAGAGCACGCCCAAATAGCGCTCAAAGTCTTTACTATCAAAGAAGTTGATCGCAAATCATTGATTGGGAAGTTCGCACTATCTTTAATATTAATTGTAAAGAGAGCGATACCTCCTCTGTCTTAATGGAGACTAATCTACAATAAAGATTTACTGTTACTGATATTTTACTATCAAAGAGGTCTAAAAAAAAAATGACATCAATTGCAAATCATTGATTGGGAAGTCTGAACTATCTTTAATCTTAATTGTAAACAGAACGTTCTCTTCTATATCTTAATGGAGACTAATGCACAGTAAAAATATACTATTTCTGTTACTTTTAATATATATTACTAGTGATACCCAAAACACTAACGTATTTTGAGAAGGAATACCCAAAGCAAGGGGATACCCAAATCACCATGACAGCGCCTGAAACTGATTAACAGAAATACCAATAAGTTTAACGGCATGTGAACAAGCGAGCTTCGGAGCAGTCAGCTGAGATGTTAGAGTAAGACTTATTAAAGAATCTCGACTGGATTCTCTGTTTTTTTTAATGGATTTTTTTCGGACTAATTTAAACGTATAGCCATAATACTTTAAATGCGGGTCAACAGCCGTGGGGGGAACGCATATGTATAGCGTGACGTAACAGGTTTTTACTTCCGCTTCAGTTTGTCACGTGGTTTGCACCAGACGACGCTTACGGCAAGGTTATAATTTAGCTGTGTTGTTTTACTGCTTATCTTTTCTTCTGTGAGAAAATGTGCGTTTTATGATTACTGCTAAGTGAAAACACAACTAAGTCTACTATCGAAGTCATGTTATACGTTACAGACGATCAAAGGATGCTTATCATGATTTCGGTTGGATCACTGCTGTTGCTGCTTCCGATACTCCCGTGTGCAGGTAAGCTGATTGACATATGTATTGGGGATTTATTGATGTATATAGTACTTATTTTCATCTAGAATGAATTTAAAACTTGCTACTAAGAACTTCACTTATTGCAATTGCCGGCAAATAGTAGTATCACATAATTTATTATACTGAATGAATTGAAACTCCCCTTGATTCATTTACTAAACACACACTTCGTTACTTAACTTCCGCTTTTATGATGTAAGACGAAATCTTGGTTTATCCCGCTCATCAAGAGTAAACTGACCAAGTTAAAGCATGGCTGATTATTCTTCCACCTGAGTTTTGGCACCAGTTTGAAGTTAAGATCTTTACAGTAAATGCTTGGATTTAGCAAAAGAGTCGCGCTATTGAAATGATTCAAATAATTAGAATTATAGGTTTTATCTCTGGTTTCAACGGAACTTAGGTGAACAAAAATGTAATTCAGTTGATAAATTAATATAATCAATGAAACGTCCAGCTGGTCACACTATTGAGGGCCAGTGCACAGAGAGATTGAGGAATTTAGCGACACAGCAATAGGAGGCTCATCAAAGGATATATATTATACTTTACATTATGCGTATTTTCAGCTCTTCGGAGCTAGTGGAACCCCAAACTACCTTTACTGAATTTGGTGGAGTATTAGGAATTCAAAAGAGGCTCACACTCGAAAGGACTGATATGAAGTTAGGTCGGTTTAATTAGCGAAAGAATAGATGAAATATAAACATGTGTAGTCTGTAACTGGACTGAACCTCCTATTCTGGAGACTAGACCTTGTCTATTTTAGAGAAAAAAAGAATTTAAGTTTTGATGACCTTGCCGGTCCCGTGAGAAAGATGGCGATCCCGCAAAACGGCCCGCAAAACAAATTAACAAAATTATACAATTACGGATTATATAAAAAGCAGATTATAGCAACAACAAGGCTCACAAACTTACGATCAAATTTGCGATATATAGTGATATTTGCTAGCTTCTTAGCTTTTCCTCGACATCACTCGTGTGATATCCCTTGAAAATTTGCACAAGCGACCCAAGGCTCTGTTACTATTTGACGTCACACTGGGTGGCGGAGTGGGTAAACAGTTTTTTTTGTGTCTTCGTCTTCCTACCTCCCCCCCTGCTTTGGGTGAAAATTTGTAGTTTTCTTACATGGCATGGGGAGTAAGTCTTTGGCAGTCGAGTCAAGTCAATTTTTATTTAAACTCAAACAGAATAATAATAATTAGTACAAATTAGTGCTTTACAATATAAAATCGGGAGATTTGAAGGAAAAGACATTTTCAATCGTAGGTTCATTGTGCAGAGTTCTGGACACCTAAATAGTTTGTGGAACTAACCGTGTAGGTGACCCAAACAAGATAAAAAGTGTTTTAGATAAAAAGTATTACTTCATTAATTAAATAATAGTTAAAGATAATTTAATAGTAAAATATTAGGAATCAATAATAGCATTATAACAATCAATCACAGAATTCTTGATATATTGAAGAAAACTGGAAAACGGCTTGATTTTCTTAGCATCAATAGATAAAGAATTCCAAAGTATTGGACCAGTTTTGGACAAAATATTACCTTTACTTCTTGAAGGCTTTAAGAGACTTATTGAACATATTTAGGTCGATCATCCTCAGACCACCCTCCTTGGAATCCCTTAAACGTACTTTTATTTTGTAACCTTTACCATCCCGAGGAAATTCAAAAACAAGTTTATTGACTTCTCTTTCTACCTCCGCAAAGGTAACGAGCGGTGTTAAGATGTACATAAACTGGAAGATCAGGAGACTTTTACGATTACAGTGATGTTAGGTAGATAGATGTAGGTGTTAGATATTGATTTTAATGTTATTCAACACTATTTAAGTAAAGGATTTAGTACCTATATTTCACTGTTTGTAATGTCTTTGGCAGTAAAAATTATTTTTTCTTCAGGGCAGCCATTCTCCGATTATTATGGTGGGAAGACTGTAAAGGGAGCTATTGGTTCTTCTATAAATTTCACATGGACCATCCTAAGACCTTTTACCAGGGTCGAGTGGGGATTAGCAGTCACTCCTTATGCTTTTGAAACTCCACCTCGATTGCTAGTGTCTTATTTTAAAGGCAATCCACTACTAGTTACACCCCCAGCAGCGTATACTGGAAGAGTGTCGGGGAAAAATACTGGAAGTCAGGTCTCATTCATCCTTAGAAACTTAAGAACAAGTGATGAAAGGTTGTATGGCTGTGAGGTCAGTGACACCAGCAATGGAGATGACATACCAAGTTTTGACTCCGTTACTTTAGTAGTTGAAGGTAGGGGCAACTACTTTGTTGTAATCTCATGCCATCACATATAGTAAGTGCAATTATTATATTACAATCAACACTCAAAACCGAGCACAGATATGTACAGTTTTACTTTATAAAGTAGGCATACGTAAAGGAGAAGAGGACTGAGAATGGCAAAGGTGTGAGTGTGAGTACTGTCCTCTTGCTACTCCGCCCTAAGTGGTTAATTGTTGTAGTCTGTGATTCCTTCAAAACGGAATCGTTGTCTTCAGTCGCTTCTTCACCGGACGAGAAGAAAAAAGGAAAAAAAAACAAGAAACCGAATTACGCGTACAGTGGAACAGGTGACGAGGTTCTAACAATACTAGCAATGGCATAAAGTGGACCTAGTACTGGAAAACTAGACAAACAATTCGTGCAAATAAATGGCTAGAAGAATCTTTTGCTGATATTGAAAAGAATATAATAGACTTAAAAAGAACTACAGTTAAGACGAGCTAGAGATTGAGCGACCTTGAGATGAGCGTCGGTTTCCATAACCAAGATATCAGAGGTCTACCGCGAGATTTAAAAGTAGTACCGCATGAGGCAAACGATCATATGCCTGGACGCTGAAGAAACCAGACACAAGTAACTTTTCTGCGCTCGTTACATAGTGGGCACCTCACTGCCTCGTCATTTACAATCTATGGCTGGTCCTCAGGTCTTGGGAACGTGATTGTGAGCGCAAATGAAAGAGCGTTCTGAGCCCTACGGAATGCAGCCATGAAATCATCGATTGAATCCACGTAGGACGACCGGCTGTTACTGCATCCAGGGAAGCGAGGTAACTTGAACACCTTGAAATGACACTTGAAAGGACTTTGTATGCGCCAATGAACGATATTAATTGATCAAAAACGTTCGGCACAGGGTAAGTGGCTAGGGTGTTCAGGCGGTTGGACTGACGGAGAGAGAACCAGCGTTCCAGATCCAACCAAAAAAGTGGTAAATTTGAGGCTGATGATGGTCTTGTGGGCAGAAAAACGCAAGTTGCACTTGTGAAAAGCTTGTAGGACCCTCTTCGAGTTTTGGACTAGCTCTTGGGTCGTAAGGGCTTATAACAGGGTAAAAGTTTTTGTTTAAAGGTGAATGGGCTTATAACTGGAAGGCTTATAAGTGTGGGCTGGGGCTATTTAAGGGGACGCGATCACGTTTATGCGCATGTGCGCCGTTTGTCTCTTCAGAATAAATTTGTCGGGTCAACACTAATTTCGAAATCGCCATTACTGGTACAATCATTGAAAATCCTTCGTTTTATTTCGACATCCGTCGCTTTGGCTGGCCTAGTTATACTTTGGTAGTGGTGATTAACGTGTGGTTGTGTTGTTTGACCGATTACGTTTTAAGAAGACGCAAAAAATAATGTTTTGATCGTGGAGGTTCAGAAGAGCATCGTGGCCGTCCGGCAACAGGACGTTCTCAAGAGTCTTTGGAGATAGAGAAGCTTAGCCGATGTATTTGTTATGGTTCTAGGAGTAGTGTGTGGCTTACGAAAAGAATACACGACACTTGGAAAGTGGTTAAAGGCATGAGTTCGTTCAACTTTGATTTGATTTTTGACTCTGACCTGTAGTTATACCGCAACAGGCCGCGCGATCTTTACCGATCTGGTACACTTGAAATGTTCCATGTATCTTTGTTTTATGATCGTGTATGTTTAAGAATTGATGTTCTTAAAAGACATTATTGCCTGAGTACGATGATTCTGTTTATAATCTAGTTTCTTTATGTGTTCTACTCAATAACATTTGTTTTCCAGAACACTGACCCGATGCAACGCGAATGAATTTGTTCATTTGCTGATAAGCAATTGAAATTTATGCTCAATTAAGGATAATCTTAATACGCAAACGTTGTGCGTTTTTGTCGCCGGTCAGGTGCTATTTGTAGGCATTTCTGGGTTTATACAGGGCGAACTGAGAGAACAGTAATAAAATGTTTGTTTACAAATTTTGTTTGCCGATCGGTGATCATGACTGCTTTGTTAACGTGGGTACGACCTCGTAAAAATACACGTTGGTGAATGTTTGTTTCAAAGCAGGACAGGGCTGTAAATGTTATTCTTATCGGCTGCAAAATACATATGAGGAGTAGCAAAGAATAAACTTGAATTATGGGGGTAAATAAAATTAAACCAAATGCCCGGAAATACTCTCGCGTCGCGAACAATGAATTTGAATTTTGTAAATTTACTTGCGTGCATCTAACTCGCTTCCGATTGGTTTAAAAACAATCAGCTACTGTCAGAACTCACACATGCGCATTATCTTGAACCAGTCCCTTTAAGGAATTGACCACTCCAGAAAATACCATAACATACCATAATACTCTTTGTTTGTCACCCCAAAATTTTGCATAAGCATTGTTTTCAGTTTATCTTGGGCCTTTTTAACTCACAAGAGAAACTGAAGACAATGCTTATGCAAAATTTTGGGGTGACAAGCAAAGAGTATTATGGCATGCTATGGTATTTTCTGGAGTGGTCAATAGAAAACGTCTCCCTTGTTTGCAAAGTCTGATATAAACCCAAGAGAGGTTGGGAGAATTCGAGACAGTTATGCAAACCCGAGATGAAGTGGAGGGTTTGCACTTGATTTGTCGAGAATTCTCCCAACCCCTCGCGATCTAGTATTTATATTAGGCCGTAGGCTATGCAAATACACGAAAAAAGCTTTCTATTGCCTTTACAAATTAACTTCTTCAAGAAAAAACGCAAAAACCTTTGGCACTGGTTAAAATGAAATTCTTATTAGTTGGGAAGTCTTGTATGCGAAGTCTTGTTCGCGTGATCACTTCTTGTTTTGCAAAAAGATGCTTTCCAAAATACTGATTTTTCTCGTATAAAATGTCAGCATGTGCGAAAACAAAATTGACAAAGACTTTTGGTAAAGATTTTTCAAGTTTCAGCAGACTATGGAATGGGGAAATAACGTAAACTTGTCGAGTTTTCAACTAAAAAACGTTTTCAAATTCGTGCTTGCGAGATTAGTATGCGACAAGCAAAACATCTTGACCTCACAACCGTGTTTACATACTCCTCAGGCAAACACGCCTTTCGGCTAGTCAGAGCGCGCGTGCTACCTTATTTGTTTTATATATAATAATTAACAATTATTGCACGAGGTTGAGCAAAATATCGTGATGGTACGATAACTTGCAAGAGCAGGAGCTTACCTATCTACATAATCATAATTATGTTATTTCTTCGTAAATTCCCCTTTTTAAAAGTACTTCGAACGAAGAGTTAAAAATGTTTTCAAAAAACCTAGTTTAACGAGCCTTGTTACTTATGAAAGTCAATTTCTTATTTAAAATAATGATCTTTCTACAAAATCCGTTATGATAAATCAAAATGTACTAAGATTAAGCAATGAGAATTGCTAGACTCGCCTATAAATCACGGTCATCCGCTAGTTATTATGAAGTAGCTACAACGTAATTTTTAGGGAGTTATTACAACTGCAAAAATGGAGTAAAAATTTTAAGTACAGGATAACCGCTTTTTGGGGGTTATTTTAACTCCTAATTTAACTCCGAATTTGGGGTCATTTTTACTCCTGAAAAAGAGTTCTTTTAACTCCCAGTCTGGAGTTAAAATAACTCCGAAATGGGGTTACTTTTACTTCTTACATGGGTTGTATTTACTCTTTTTGGAGTTAATTTAACTCTGAAAGTGGAGTAAAAAGTTTAGGTACAGGATAACTTCTTTTTTGGGGTTATTTCTACTGCTCAATATCTAGGGGTCACTTTTACTCATGAAAAAGAGTTATTTAAACTCCTTTTTGGAGCTGAGTTAAAATAACTCCCCCAAAAATAACTCCACTGTAAGGAGTTAAATTAGCCCCACTAGAGGAGTTATAAATTATAACTCCTTGAAAATTACTGTGTAGTGAAATGTCTACATTAAGCGGCCTTTTTATCGCCTTAACTCTGGGTAAATCATTGAGAATCAACGAATAGGTAAACTGTCAGTTATCTTACATCACGCCGACGTGCCGTGCGTTGGAAAGTGAGGTACCAAAAGAGATCATTATGATTAGAGGGGCAAGAAAAAGTGCAAAATATTTCTTCGAAACAGTTTTTACTGAAGATCGCAATAATACAGCCTTAAGCTGGCTAAGTAAGCAACGTTTCTTTACTGATCTGCAACGACGAAAATATTCTTTAAGTGTGGACCTTTAATTTGCCTCACTTTGCAGAGATACCGATCATAACTCATCCTGCATCAGGCAACGCAACTTACCGTGAAAGCGACGCTGTTAATATCAGCTGTAAAACTTCTGGAAATCCAGTCCCAGATGTGAGCTGGGTCCATGATGGCAGAATCATGATTTCTGGCTCTAAAACAGCTACACTCAATTTTAGCTCAATCAGCAAAGCCGATGCAGGATCGTATACATGTAAAGCGAACAACTCTGCTGGGATTACAGAAAAGCAACTAATACTACTAGTAAGCTGTAAGTATTATACGACATAGTTATTTGCCTAGTTTATATTTAATTTTTCTAATCTGCCATAAAATCATCAGTTTGATATTTGACAATATTTCGCGGCGAGGTAAATATTACTAAGGCCATTTTTCACTGCGATTGAAAAGAATAATTGTTAATTGTTTTAGTATATACACACGAAGTGATCTCAACAGAATCAGAAAGGAAACCACTAGTCGATTGACGGGCTAAATCATGAGTGAACATGAAGCCGTAAATAAGAGATGCTCAAAAGTTAGACTTTTTATATTGTCAAACATGGCAAAATATAGATTTCATAATTTTGTAAGCTACGGCATCAGCAATTTTAAAGGAATCGTCGAAAGTTTAATAATACCTCATCTGAGAAGGAATGTAGAACTTTATGCTTCTGTCACATGAACTCACCGATGAAAAGAAGGTTTTTGTGTCGCGTCTTGCAAGGGCTGAGGTGAGCGTTGTTTTCTGTAGTGTTCTTTGTCTTAGTTTACTTGCTGCCTTATATTCAATTTTGGAAAATATTTGCTTTTATTTATTAGCTTTTTTTTCACAAATTA